TACCGTCTATAGTTCTGTCTATATAGATATAGCTTTAATTTAAACGGTAGTTCTTTTCTAGCTGACTTTATATTAGCTAACTTTTTATCTAAGGTCTTTAGCTTAGCTTCTTTATAGCCTTACTATATCGAAAAAGTAGCTTTAGAGATACCCCTTTGATTAGTAACTAGCTTACTATAGGTGATCTTCTAGTATACTTAATATCGGTTAAGAAGCTTAGTAAATCCGATATCTTCTTTATCTTATAGTCTTAGAGTCTATATCTCGTAGAATCTAGGTAATATTACTAAGATAGTATCGAGGAACTAAGTTAAAATATTTTTGCTGAGCGTAAGCGAAGCAAATAATACAGGCAATATAGTCAAGAATACTATGCCAAAAAACCCGCCTTGCGAATTCTGAGATCCTGGCCTCTGATTGGCTGTAGAATTCACTCCTCATGTGATCAGGGTAGGGTTAGTCACGTGATTCGACTTTGAGATATAGATACCTTGGTGCCTGATAAAGCACGTGATATATATATAGATCACGTGAAATACACCGATCCACTTAGGATTAGGCGGCGATCACGTGAGCACCCTATAATTACGTGATATATACCGATCCACGCCGGATTAGGCGGCGATCACGTGAGCACCCTATAATCACGTGATATATACCGATCCACGCCGGATTAGGCGGCGATCACGTAAGCACCCTATAATCACGTGATATATACCGATCCACGCCGGATTAGGCGGCGATTATGTAAGCACCCTATAATCACGTGATATATACCGATCCACGCCGGATTAGGCGGCGATCACGTGAGCACCCTATAATCACGTGATATATACCGATCCACGCCGGATTAGGCGGCGATCACGTGAGCACCCTATAATCACGTGATATATACCGATCCACGCCGGATTAGGCGGCGATTACGTAAGCACCCTATAATCACGTGATATATACCGATCTACGCCGGATTAAGCGGCGATCACGTGAGTACCCTATAATCACGTGATATATACCGATCTACGCCGGATTAGGCGGCTATCACTATATAATAAGTAGCCTAAGGCGCCTAAGGTACTAACTACCTATATTACGTAATACATCACGTGATATATCTAATTAACGCCGGATTAGGCGGTAATATATCTAATCTACGCCGGATTAGATAGCGATCACGTGATCACTATATAATCAATAGCCTAAGGCACTAACTAGCTATATTACGTAATCCCGGGATATATCTAATCTACGCCGGATTCGGCGGCGATTACGTAATTACGATATAATTCTAAGGTTACGTATTTAATTTAATTTAACTTTACTAAGCGAATTATATATATATATATATAGAACGGTATAAAAGTAAGCCTAGATAAGATACTTAGGTATTACCTCCTAATTAAAAGAGGGTTTAAACCCTAGCTACTATAAGTATTAGTAAGCGCTTATACCGCTATATAATCCGGTAATAGTATAGGGGTTCTACTAACTAAAGAGTACGGTTATAGGTAAGTATAGGATAAATATAGAAAAAACTAGGTATATAGCGTAGTGGTTAAATACGATATATATCTTAAAAGTCGCGTGTTCGAACCCGGCTCCGACTAAAATAAAAATAAATTACTTTAATTAGACTACCGATTAGTAGATCGATTAGATTAGAATCTAGATTAGATTAGATCGATTAGATTAGATACTCGATAGTAAAATCTAGATTAGATTAGATTAGATCGATTAGTAGATTATTTAGATTAGATACTCGATCTATAATCTAGATTAGATTAGATTATAGACTATCTTAGCTATATAATAGTCTAGATAGTAATCTAACCCCCTAATCTAGATAGTAAGCTAACTAAACTACTAATCTACCTACTAACTAGCTATTAATTAAGCGGGTAATCTAGCTACTAACCTAGCTGCTAAACTAGCTACTAATCTAGATAGTAGCCTAGATAGTAAACTACCTACTAGATACTAAGCTAGCTACTAAACTACCTACTAAGCTAGCTACTAAACTAGCTGCTAAGCTAGATAGTAGCCTAGATAGTAAACTACCTACTAAGCTAGCTACTAAACTACCTACTAAACTACCTACTAAACTACCTACTAACTAGCTATTAATTAGGCGGGTAATCTAGCTACTAAGCTAGATAGTAGCCTAGATAGTAAACTACCTACTAGATACTAAGCTAGATAGTAAACTACCTACTAAATACTAAGCTAGCTACTAAACTACCTACTAAGCTAGCTATAAACTACCTACTAAGCTAGCTACTAAACTAGCTGCTAAGCTAGATAGTAGCCTAGATAGTAAACTACCTACTAGATACTAAGCTAGCTATAAACTACCTACTAAGCTAGCTACTAAACTAGCTGCTAAGCTAGATAGTAGCCTAGATAGTAAACTACCTACTAAGCTAGCTATAAACTACCTACTAAGCTAGCTACTAAACTAGCTGCTAAGCTAGATAGTAGCCTAGATAGTAAACTACCTACTAAGCTAGCTATAAACTACCTACTAAGCTAGCTACTAAACTAGCTACTAATCTAGATAGTAGCCTAGCTAGCTACTAAGCTAGATAGTAGCCTAGATAGTAAACTACCTACTAGATACTAAGCTAGCTATTAAGCTACCTACTAAGCTACCTACTAAGCTACCTACTAAGCTACCTACTAACCATAGCTCCTAGCTACTAACCTAGCTCCTAGCTACTAACCTAGCTCCTAGCTACTAACCTAGCTCCTAGCTACTAACCTAGCTCCTAGCTCCTAATCTAGCTCCTAGCTCCTAATCTAGCTACTAGCTACTAGCTACTAATCTAGCTACTAGCTAGCTTAGCAGCTGCCTATATAGCTAATACTCTCTCTCTAGGACTAATATCTTAGTCAAGTATTATAATTCCTCCCCTACCCCCCACCCCCTTAGGGGTGGGGGGTTGGGGGAGGTTAAATTCCCCTACCCCTCTTTATCGCCTATATCCCTATATAGACCTAGCTATAGGTATCTTCTTAAGCCTTCTTGAAAGCTAAATCTTTTTGCTTCTGCTAAGCTCAGCGAAATATCACCCGTATGCGTATCCACCCCAAGTGGTCGCTTACGGGTAGCTGGTATTTACTTCTAGTATTCCTACTTTTTTATAGCTTAATTAAACTATCTCCTAGTTTAATAACTATTTGTTAATATTTATATTTTTATCTAACCCTCTATCTAGGCTTCTCTATTATTAACGGAGCCTAGTAGAATAGGTCGGATTATACTCCGAGGCGAACCTTTCTCGAAGGTTTCGGAGTAGACTATATAGAGTCTTATAGTCTATAATAAACGGCTAGAAGTTTACGTAAACGCTATTCCGGATTACTGTTATAATCATACTTAATCCCTTCTTTTCTTAGGTATAGAGCGTGTTCTTTATCGACTAGTTCGATTAAATCACTTTATAAGTATCGACCTATTTATCGCCATACTTTTTCTCCGCTTCTTTAATCGATATAATCTCTACCGGAGCTTTCCGTATCTCCGGTTCTTTTTCTTTACTAGGATTATATAGCTCCTAAACGTCAAATTGTACTACAATCGATTCGATATTAGCGATCTATATATCCTAAGTTTCGGTGTCCTTAAGGATAACGCGGGAGGATAGACCCGCGGAGAGATAATCGGCCATAATTTAGATAGATTTCCGATTTTTCTTCGATTTAGGGGTTGCTTCGTCGCTAGGTAGATGACTTTCTGTCACTTTGACTACCTCAGTATCGATGGAAGCAGGGTTGATCTTTGAGTTGATGTTTAATGGAACAAAGCCGGGCTCATAACTGACAGAAATCTGACGTATTGAAATGTATGGACCTCAGGGCTGATATGGAGAACTCTGCATTTTCTACATAATAGAAACTGCTGTTTCTGTGCGGTTTATGACTAAGCTAGATTACATAATCTGTATCATCCCATGTATGCAACCTTGCAATTTGACATAACCTTCCAAGGTTGGAATGGTACTATGATTACTAAACTTTTTTTGTAATAGAAATTCAGGTATTTTAAGGTATTTTAATTTTTCTGCCGTTTTAAAGTCAAGCATTCAGGCATCAAATCATCTATAAAGGGTATACAGTGGCGTTGCATAAGTATTTGCACCCCTAGTACTTCCACTATTGACCGCTTTTCTTTACCGCCTACCTATTCCTACTAGTATAAGCTATACACGACGCGCGCGCACTCAATAAGAGGTTATAACTGGCAGAAAAGAAGTGGAACCCTAATTTCCGAAGTACCAGGGGTGCAAATACTCATGCAACATGACTGTAAGTCTTCGGAACCTTACTCCGTACAGACAGTGTGGAACAATGCCTTCTACACCGCTACTTATCTTTGATAGGTTCTTCTGGCCTTCAATCGGGAAACCGCTTTGTAGATCAGGTGACGCTTCAGGGATGATCCTTTTCAGTACGGAGTACAGTACAACACAAGGTCTATAGTTATTACCCCCAGTCTTATTGTGCTCGGGTTCAAAACAGTTTTATAGGGTAATTTGATGCCTGAATGCCTTATTTTAGAACGGCAGAAAATTAAGATACCTGAATTACTATTACATATGCCTTAGTAATCAAAGTAGGTACCTACCTAGGTAGTTACCTAGGTAATTCTGCTGGCGTTCACAAGTGTCAAAAATGAAGCTTTTCATCTCCATACAAATGTAGATATCTCCACGTTCTTGGCGGTTTGTAAGTGTCAAAAATTAAGCTTGTGTCTCTTGGTTACTACCTAGGTAATTCCTGTAAAGGTTGAAATGCGAACCTAGCTTTTCTAACTTTTCGTACCTGGATACTTTATCGTGAACAGTTGACCACATCACTTTATCCCAAATCCCAGAACCCATCCCACCCTTAACGCAGATAGGTACTCTAACGCATGTTTCCGGTTACATCTCTTCCACCTTCATCTCCCGTATTTCGAACAATATTGGAAGTGGTCCGGATTTCTAAACGTTAAACATGCTCCAATGACACCCACCTCTTCCCCGTCCCCCAAGATAAAGGATGTTGTGGTCAACATCCTGAATACGTTAGAGGTGATCGACCACGCATATCTCACAAAATCTGAAATTCTGGACCTAGGAGTCTCCGCTAAGGGTTTTGACCAGAACGACGAAGATTCTTGGGGCCCCGAGACCCCATGGCTTTTCATGCCGGTTTCTAAGGAGGACATCATACCGTGGAAGATCTCGGCCTCTGGGGCCAACTCGCTGAAAGCCAGCCTGAATATGCCGGATTAGGATCTCAAAAGGCAGCTTCGGCCTAACTGGGACGCCACACGCGCCACGCAACAGGTACTCCTCTTTATCACGGCATAGTTCAACCATCATAGCAAATCGAAGACTCGCCTAAGCGGTACACTCGGGTGGAGTTATATTGAGTAAGGATACTAGTGCATATTTACGATTCTTTACGAGAGATAGTTCTAATGGCGTATAGTTTCGAAGAGTTTACTAGCGGTAATAAGGGATTCCTTTTCTCTACAAGTGGAAAATGTCGAGGCGTTGATACCCCGGGCTAGAGACTTAGCTTGTTAGAAGGATAGTAGGATAGGGAAGTCCTCATTAGGCCCTCTATCCGTTTCATCATATATACGGACGGGAATAGTAAGGAAGACAGTCTACTACTAAGTGATCTAGGATCAATCGCTTAGGTCGTTACGTTCCGCCGAACTCAGCCGGGGTTCGAGACCGAGATAAACTCTGTCAACTAGTACTAACGATCTCTTTTTATATAGGTACTCTTGATTTCGCTCTTCGGGCCTCGACACGGGCGTATCATCTAAGCCTGCTACGACCGGCTCAATGATATGCTCGAACTTCGGGTTTCTCGAGTTTTCTGCTTCGTTACTAAGGAGGATGCGGTATTTGATACATTCCTTCGATTCGTAGCGAGCTATCCACCCGAGATAGCAAATCCCAAATTTTTTGAGACATACCGCTAGCTTGCTATTACCTACAAGTTAAGGTCTAATAACTAATGACGAACTCCTAAATGTCAACTTCTACAGGGCCAATTTCTAGTAGGATATATACCTACTGTAGAAGACCTAACCTTAACCTACGATAGTGTTTGAAAACTAATCAATTTAATATAATATATCAATAATAAATATTTAACCTCCTAGCAATATAAAATTCAAATAATATCTAATTTAAACAGATGGGTCAGGCTCGGAGTTGCGAACACAGGAGGTCGGGTTCCGCGGACCCCGACGTCAGCCTGGCCTGGCCTGCCTGTCCGTGATTTTTATACATTCAACGCAGAGCCACAACCATCCCTTCCGGTGCCTTTAAAGAAAAGATTTAAAACAAAATGTCCACCTTCAATGGCTTAGAAATAACAACAGTAAGTCCACCCATCCCACTCCTACCCCAAACCCCCATCTAACCAACCAGGCCTCAATAATCGCCGCGCTAGCCAGCGAAGGCGCCATCCACCCAATGGACACAGTAATAACACGCATGCAATCCCCAATGTACAGCAGCGTCTACAAGCACCTAAACGGCACACTCAGCCGCACTCTCTTCAACGGGCTGTACCAAGGCTTCGGACCAACCTTTGTCGCAGGCACAGTTTCATCAGCGGCTTTCTTCACAGCATACGAAGCCTCAAAGACAGCGTTCGACAATGCACAGTCCGCTGGATATTTTCTCGATGTCCCGCGGCCGCTGATGCATGTTGCTAGCAGTGCTGTCGCTGAACTGCTGGCTTGCGCTATCCAGAACCCGGCTGAGGTATTGAAGCAGAATGCCCAGGTTTACCAGCGGCCAGTTAATGCTAGACGAGGTCCGTCTCCGACGGTGGAAATGCTGCGCCAGTTTAGGAAATATCCTTCTAGTCTGTGGGCTGGGTATGGTGCGTTAGTCGCGAGTCAATTACCGAGTATGTGTCTTACGTTTTGTTTGTATGAGATGTTTAAGGAGGGTTTGCTTGAGCGGTGGAAGACGGATAAAAATGATATTAGACAGCAGCTTGAAGCCACTGTTTTGGGTGCTGGGGTTGCCGGGGGTTGTGCTTCTTGGTTCTTTGTTCCTATCCATGTGGTCAAGACGAGGATGAGGCTTGCGGTTGGTGGACAGACGGGTAGTACCCGGTCGAGTCTCAAGGGGAAACAACCTGGCTTACCATCCCGGGTCGGGGCATTTGCTATTGCTCGAGGTGTGCTACGGAAGGAGGGGGTGGCTGGGTTGTTTCGGGGATCTACTCTGACCTGCGTGGCAGCGGTTGTGGGGAGTGGACTTTATATTGGATGTTATGAGGGGGCTAAGATATACTTGTGCAATTATCAAGCCTTGTAGTTGGCACGGCTGGAGATCATTCCAGGTTAAATGTATTATAAGATATGTATAATGTAATAGAATCACTCTCCTCCTTGCGTCGTCTTAGAACAAACTGAAAAACAGGAGCCGCCTATTAGAAGTATAAAATGAAAAGGCACGCTTCCATCGTTAGATTTATAAGGCGCCCATTCACTATAAAAGGTGCGTGCAGAACAGGGTATAGGGGAGTAATAGATAACACCCCAGGCTTATTAACTCTCCCAAGAGTTACACCATCCTTAGAAGATGTTATGCGTATTGGCCTCTCGGAATCCCGGGCATATTCCACGTGCTATATGCACATACCTACTTCACAAGGTACACGATAGTCCGGGGAACCATGTGTGTATTAGTGTCACGATAAACAAGCATATGCACAAGACTCACTCCACGGCAAGGCCGCAAGGGTATCTTGGTCTACATTTACCAGTAATTCTACTGATTGTCTACAGAAGAACACCGAAGACTGAAAATGAACAAAGCCATGCTCTATTCTTGATTGAGCCTCGCATAGGACGAAGGGCACAATAAACACGTACAAGGAACAGACAAAACTCCCTTCGCCTGAGAAAAAAGAAAACGACGAAAAGCAAACCTCGTCACGGGTAAAAAGCAGATACCCTTCACCACCTGTTCCGCCCGAACACCAATCCCCGATCCCAAGCGTCATGAAGCCGTCTCAGATGAGGTTAGAGATTAGGTGAAATGAAACCGAGATAAATCAGGAAACTTAAACGGAAGAAGACACAGGAGATGTAGAGCGTGAGGTTGAGGACAAAGAGGGGGGGTTGGAGGAAGAGAGAATGCCAGGAGTAAATGGATACTGGTCGCGCCGTTTCACTACATTCAACGGACACGAGACAAGACCATCCATCGTTCGAGGAACAGATACCCTCGCTAGCAAATCAAGAGGATACAGAGGATAAGCGAGAGGAAACGGAAGGACGTTCATAAGCAGGAAAGAAAAACACAAGAAGGAAGAAAAAGAAATACGTAAGAAACACCATAAGACGGCTGGCTAGAGAGCCACCACCCAAAAAAAGATTCCGAAATAACAAGCACGAAGGAAAGAAACTGAAACTGATTGAAAAACACCCCATCTCCGAAGATTTCAAATGCTCCATGTCATCAGTGCCGTTGTGGCCCAAAGTCTGCCTCTACCACCTTACCCTTCTTGCCCTTTACCGTAAACTCCGCAAGCAACGCAACGTGATCACTGGGGAAGTGGAAATTCGGGAACCCAGGCACGCGGCGCAGATATTCCTTATCCACTTCGCCGAGCAACGCCGACACATGAAGAGTGTTGGAAGAGTACCAAACATAGTCGAGAATGGCTGTGAAGTCGGAGGTGTAGTTGGTGAAGGTCAGCTCTCCCATGGAGGAGTAGGCTGACTTCAACTTGAAGGGATGCGTCATACCAACCCGGCTAAGGTTTCCGTAAAGTCGCTTCTCCAGATCGGGATGGGCTTCGGGAAGTCGTCCAGTGGAGATCAAGTTGTAAGCTGCAGAGCCTGGTGAGGAGTTAAAATCACCGCACATGAGAACAGGGATCTGATCACCACTGGTGTACTCCATCGACGGGGCTGGCTCCACCACGGGCGCGCTCTCTGAGCCACTTTCAGCCTCTGAGAAGCGGAATGCGGTCTTGTCTGTGCAGGCGGGCCATTTGGCGTAGTTATCCGAGAGTTTGGTAATCTCCTCCATCAGAATCGCAGTTTGGATGAGCTTGACGTCCTTGAAGGCTGGATCCCAATACAGATGAGCGTTCACACTGATGAAGCGAGCACCGGTTTGCCGGTTTTCCAAGAAGATCACAACAGCGATGTGGTCCTTCTGCCACAGTCGGTTGTAGATATCATCTTGACCTTTAGCGTCGGGTCGACGAACGGCTGTCTGGCCAAAGTTGATCAATTGCTTGTCCAATAGGATGTACTTGCTTCCCTTGAAGAATGTGGCACATCCATCGACCATCCGGGCGTCTTCCTCTTGCATGCCCATTGCACGACCACGTGGCCAGTAAACACCCTTGTAATCATTGTAGGCAAGCTGCTCTCGGAAGAAATTGTTGTAACTTCCCTGATCAACCTCCTGAAGGCAGACAATATCTGCGTTGTGGGATCGTAATTCGTTAAGAATAAGCTCGCGGCGGAATTCCCAGGAAAGGACCCGCGAGGGCACATAGCCGTAATGCGATTGAGTCGCAGAAGAGTCACACAGGGTGTTGTACGACAGTACGGTGATCTTTTCCGTATTACTGTTGGACGAGGTTGAAGTATCATCGAGGATCACCCAGTCACGGTCAGGAGGAGGTAGGTGGACTGTAATGATCAAGTTAGCCAAAACCAAATATCACGCAAATATGCTCGAGAGCGGAAGAAGCAGTTGAAACGCACCTGGCATCTCTTCTTTCAGGTACTTAATGAGAGCCTTTGTTCCGTCCTTCATGATCTGAGATTTGAGGACATCGTTCAGGGGGTTGCCCTCAATTCCCAATGTTTCCAACCGGTAAAGGTATCCCATTTCGTAAGGGAGGGTGCGAATGTTGTTATCGAAAAGGAGAAGCTTCTTCAGGTTTGAAAGCATGCCAAGTTCTTCTGGCAGCTCCGTCAATTCATTCCCGGACAGATCCAGATGATTCAACTTCCGCAGTTGTCCAATAGCCGGGGGCAGCACCTTCAACTTATTGGAGTTGAGGTACAGTTTCTCAATGAAGGCATAGTTGAACAACGAGGTAGTCAAAGCGCGCAATCCTTGGCCACCAAAATCAAGCGCATTCCAACCCTGTCGGCTAGCTGGCTTTCCTGCGGATGCACCATTGCGCCCATCCGCCCCATTCTCTATGTCAGTGTTGCTGGAAATGAGTTGGATTCCTTTCGTTTGTTGCGCAATGACGCGGGCATGGTAGTGGGGAGAAGTGGCTTGTCTCGACTCCGCCGCAAGCTGGAGCTGCTGCTGCCAATGCTCGTTCATTGATTCGTCAAGATCATCGTCAGCGGTCGGTACTCCGTTCTGCAAATGCGTCGATGTGAAATGAGAAGCTGTCGTAGTGGCCAGTGCGCCGCCAGGGAAATTGTGTTGATGAGTGAGGTTGTGGGTCGCCTGTGTGTGATGGCCATGATGGTGCGGCTGTTGCGTGTGATGGGAGTGGTGGGTTTGCGACTGGAACTTGGGGATCGGCATGCCAAACCGCTGGTGGGCTTGACCGCCATTCATCATGACATGCTGACCTTGGTGAGTTTGGCCGTACATGTTGTTAAAAGGACTGAGAGCAGCAGCCTGGTTGAGGGCAGGGGATCGAGAGGGGGAGGGGGTGTCGTTGTTGAATTTCAGTCGACCCGTCGGGGAATTGGTCCCGTTTCGAACGATGTGTCGCTGGTGAGGGTTCTGCTGTGCTTGAGCTTGGAAGTAGAACTGCCCGGCCCCAGGCTGCTGGAACCTGTAGGTACCATCTGCCATTTAACGTGGCAGACGAGACCGTGTTTTGTTTCCCTGGTGGAAAACCTGTTGGTTGGTGGGCGGCGCTAAGTCGAGTTGGGTCAAGGAGAGGAGAGAGGATCGGAGACGGTCTCTTCTCTTCTTCCACATAGAGGCCTAAGGCAAAAGCACCTATATCAAACCACGATTGAGGTCGGTGACTTTGGCACTGGGAGTATCTTTTAGGTTGTGCAATGGAGCGGTACCTAAGGGCGGAGATTGGGCGGAAGGGTCAAAAGAAGGTGTGATCGGAAAAGTAAAAAGAGATCGAGTGATGGGGGAGTCGAAGAAAAACCAGTGGGGTCAAATTGACGTAGCAAAGATGAGCAAACCAGACGATTGCCTCCAGGTCGATGAGGACGTCTTGAGATGACACTGGTGGTTTGCAGCGAGGCGGGAGTCACGGGATCACGTGAATCGCCGCAAGGGCTTTGAGCTTGACTTGCCAAGACACGATTGATGTTTCTCAAATGTTTGATGATTTTTTTTAATCCAAAAGTGTGAAATTGATCATACACATTCTTCACTTATGGTGCATCTTTACATTACTTTTGCGATGGATGGGACTGTTTATATGAAAAACCACAGCCACGTGGTTGACTTTGCCTGCCAAAACCATTTGGTATATACAACTGTCTTTGGCAAGTCGAACCTGCATCAGATTTTGATTCTGCCTAGACATCTTGTTTGAAACTAGCCAACACTAGGGGGAGTATATATGAAAGAGATCTGGATCCAAAGGGGGTAGATAACTAAAAGGTACAGGCAAGAGGGAAACAGACCTAGACAGAAGATTGAAAGGATGGACAATGGCCTGATCTATTCTAAGCCTTCGCTAAGAATATCCAATACCTTCTAAATTTGAATCTGGTCTTTTGACTTTGTTCTATGTGGGTGTTGGAGGAATCATAGAACCTTTGTGTCAAAAAGTAGTTCAGGTCAGCTTCCCCTTGGCATGAACTACTTGGGCGAGACAGAAAAGCCACTAAAGAAATAATTCTTGCTTAATTTCACAAATTTCATATATCGCATGAGTAAAGTCAGAAAGTCTTGGAATGCCTATAAAGAAAGTATACTATATTACCATAGTGATCATTGGCAAAATGCCTTATAACACTACCTTATAGTTAACATCCATGGATGGTATCTATACGGAGTTATGGTATAGAAAGAATCACTATTAAATCACGATTTAATAATGTCACCTAGGTAGATGGTTTAAAGACAATTTCAGTCATCAAATGACGCCTACGCAGATTCTGTTTAAGCCCTAGTTAGTGTATATAACTAGAGATGTGTCATTCATATGAGATGTATAGCTGCAAGGCAGCACAGACCTAGTATACTCGCATATTCACAAAAAGGGGATACATACACCTCTACCAACTTGATACAACCACAACACTTAACTATTTGCCTTCATCTTACCGATCATATTTGCCTCTTCCGCTCCGCTTATTCCCGAGTCTCGAAAATACCAAACTAGTCCTAATCAAAAGTACGTGGCAGACGCTATTGTGTCGATCAAATTTTCATATCATTCTGCAGGTACGTTTAATTTTAATACCGAGCGGAAAGGGCACGGATCACGGTGCAGACTAAGACGATCGCGTGGAATAATCGATAATTAACTAGTTAGTTAGCATAGACAAGTGCGTGGAACTTAGCGTGACAGGGTAACGACTCCAAGGTATCAGATAGAGAGACAATGGCGAACTAAGTCTCGGAGTTGTTGGGGCCCAGACTGCGGATCCAATTATTAACTCACCTCCCCTTAGTTAATATGGATATGACGGGTGAAGGATTTCCGACGGTTGTGGTATCCAGTTTTACCGTTTGAATGATACATATGTACTACATATATACCACATATATATGTACAGAATACATGCATATATCTACTGCTAGTTCTTCTGTATACAATTTGCTATACTTTGGATGTATATGTATCTTATCAATCAGAAGAAAGGGAGCATTGTTACCTGATACTCTGTACTCCGTATATCATTATGGATCCTAAAGGTCTGAAAATTGTGTTCAACATATTCAATATTCAATATTCAATCCCATAAATTGTTCAAAAGCAATAAACTATGTATATAAACTATGTATAGTTTCTACCGCATTTGGACAACATTTCCCTTTTTGGACATTGAGCTATCCATGGATGGCATTAAATGAGAGAGTCATGATGTCAATGCCTTTAAAAAATTATATCAACACATGTCCAAGGTCAAGGGTAAGACAGAATCCCCCAATACTGATATTTCACGGAGTAAAGTACTGTTAGTTACTGTTACCGTGAAGAGACTAAACTAGACTCGAGTGGATATTCTACTTCCAGGGGGTCAAGTCTACTTTTTCTTCTCTTCTTCTCCCCCAATTCCTTCTCGAACTTCTCGAATAATTTACTTTCAAGGATCTACCTTGAATGCCAAACTAAAGGATTTATCTACAATTTCAATCCTATTTTTTTTTGTTTACGTTGAACAAGAATTTTCTTCAGCTCCGCGCCCGGCTGCACTAGGGATAATTTCCGAGCCCGCTTTGATCCCCGTCATCTTTCCTGTTCGACTCGACGGAGTACAGAGTATTCTTTTTTTTTTTTTTTTTCCTTCTATTCTATTTTAATTCCGACTCCCCTCGGAAATATCTTCCACTCGAAAAAAAAAGCCTTCAAGAGAAAAAAAGAACCAAAAAAGCATGCCTCGTTCATGAAAACTTCAATCTTGCGCCGAGAATGCGACCGAACCCACAACCCATCTTCAGAGTCATAGGGGACACCAACCGACATACTTGAGGAAAGTGATATGGATATGATGGCCCTGGGCTTCACAGCCGCCGCCTCCGGCTCCGATATACACTCCAACCTAAGCTCGACACTGGCCGCAACCTCCTCTTCGTCCCTGAGTTCACTCACGGACTACTCAACATACCCTGTAATGCGCTATGGTGACCGCACCTACTTTCGTGATCCGGAGAACGTCTACCCTTTGCCCTGCGACCTGCCCGAAATCCACCGTCAAAGCCTGCGGACGTTGATGCTGCTGCGAGTCCTCGGCGGCCCATTTTGCAACCCCCCACTTAACCAATCGGCCGCCCAAACGCATCCTGGAGATCGCATGCGGGTCCGGGCTTTGGTCTGGTCTGTGCCACGAATATTTCACCCGCAGGGGCCATCCCGACGTAGCCTTTGCCGGGATAGATGTTATCTCCATCGCACCGGATCTGCGCAAGCAGGGTATGAACTGGCAATTCAAACGTCATGATCTACGCCGACCCCGCTTACCCTTCCCGGACGACTATTTTGATTTCGTATTCATTAAAGATGCCGGCATGTGTCCTTCCAGTCCGGCACAATCTGCATCGGGCTTGAGCGAGCCCCTGCGCGTGCTGAAGTCTGGGGGGATCCTGGAGGTGTGGGATTCGGATTGGAGCTTTCGTTCGCTCCTGCCTAATCCGGCTCCGGCACGTAAAACAACCTCGAAAGAACAGGAGATCGCCGATGCAACGGCTACTTATACATTCTCCTCCGCCACACCATTCACACGAGCGCAGAATAAGTTCGTGGTTGATTATAACTCCTGGGTGGAGAAGTCGTTCGACCGTCTGAAATTGACAGCGCTCCCGTGCGCAACGATCGGCCTATCCTTCAACTCCGAAGTGGACTTGTTAGAAAATGTCGACAGTCGCCGCGTCGCAATTCCCCTGGGAGACTTGCGCTGGGAGCGAGACGGCCAAGGCAAGGATTCCAAGAACCGACCACGAAAGGCCCTGACTCCAGAGCAAATCTCCATCCGGCGCACAGCTCTCATCACCACAATTCAAATGATTGAAGGGCTAGAACCAATATTGATGGAATCTAGCGGAAAGGGTCGCGACGAATGGGACCGATGGTGGGCTGCAATGACAGCCGACCTCCTGCAGAAAGGCGGACTCGCCAGCGGCGAGTGCCTTGAAGTGAGCGCCTGGTGGGGTAAAAAGAAATGAACCCCTTGAGTCAATTTGGAGTTCCGGTGGGCAAAAGTCAAGTAGCGACCATTCTGCACTTTGTATTGGTGATACCCCCCAATTTTATTTCTGTCTTTCTGGGTTTCTAACATGCATATGATCTGAACATTTCTGGAGTGAAGAGCCATTGAAATATTAGGCCTCACTTCCATATCGCTTTTTCAGCGTTCGGTACCGCTTCAAATAGTACCTGGGTTTTTTTTTATCCTGTCAGTTGCCATCAACGCAAAAAGTCTTGTGATGGAGGTCAAAATAGTTCTTGCATGATGCCATGATAATGAGGAGTGAATCTATGCACAGTGTATCTAGCCAGACACTACCCCATTATGGGTGCAATGTATAGAGAGAATGACATGTACGAATGATTCCACTGTGCTTCCAAATGATGTAATCCAGCAATATCGGCAGTGAAAGGAGGATATTCGGATGCGACAATATGATATAGAAGGTAGAGAGGGAAAGGAGGGATGTAGGGATCTTACAGCGCTTCCACTTCTGCATTAAACAGTTAGCATCACATCCTTAACCGCAGCCGAGGGATAGGAATCCCAGTAAAAAAAGACAGCACTCACCTTTCTTCACAAACTCAGCCCTCACTATTCCCTTACGGATCTGCTCATCGTCGGTAATGTGAGTCTGACTTGCAAATGCACGGTGTAGGCGATCCCGGAAATACTGGTAGCCAAGAGGGTATTCCCGTCCTAAGAACAGAAGCTCTACACCTCTGGTTATTAGCATGGAACAGATGACAGATGACCGGCTGAAAACCGAAAGGAAATTCCTGGGGGATGCAAGTGCATGACGCGTACGGCTTCATACCTTTGTAGACGTTAATGACCTGTCGACGCAGCTCGAGATTTACCATTGTTGCTCCATCCAACAATGTTTGTTCTGGTAGAGAGAGTTGATGGTGGTTGGGATGCGGTGCAATGAAGGTAAGCGGCTGAGAAGCTTCCAGGCTTCGGGTGTTATCGGTGACGTGCCCAGAGGAGTTATCTGCTCCATAACATTGTGGGTTTTCAAGGTTGCCATACACTATGTACGACCTATTTCTTGGGCAATTTAGATATTTTGCTTTCCATTTTACGTTCATTTCATATTCATTCTATATTCATTCCATATTCATAAGACATATTTGAAATAATATATCAATACAAACCCTATAGTCACGCGGGGTTCTAGCCGACCTGACCTCGGGATATTGGCCCAAGCTTCTGGTTATCGGTTATCGGAGAGCTGTCCGCCTATGTTGTACAGCCTTGGGGGAACTGTCTCTCCACAACTACACAACATGCTTTCTCAACCAGCTTTTCGAGTGCAGCTATCTGCCTCAATCTCTCTGTACTTAAATGGCACACGTCGTCTCTTCTCTACGACTTCTGCGGCCTTGAACGGCCAAAACATCCCCATCCCCAATTCGGCCTCAACTCCGATCAATCCGCGATGGCTCACAATGACCAAGCGAAGGATTGGGAAATGCATGATGTTTGGGATGAAGCCAACTCAGATTGACGAAGGTGGCAAGATTTTGCAGCAATTGGCCAATGAATGGCGGGAACTGCTCGCTGGAAGTGAGGGATTCCTCACGGATAAGAAACGGCGCAGTCTGTATCGCCATAATGTGGTTTGGGGAGAACAGGTATGAGTTCGGACTATATTGCTTGGTCTGTATTGTGGATGAGAGTCACTGATTCTAAGCCTGCTTGTGATGGATTAGGATATTATGGTGAGAACATTCATGCCCCTTTACCTGTCGTGCCTACTGCGTGGGCTATATGGATTTCTGGGCCAAAGCTAACCTCGATAATAGGGTATGTTCTGTCCCTTTACTTTAAAAACACTCCTCGCAAATACAGATCATACCGTACTAACTAACCCAAGGTCACGTCAACAATGTTACCTATGTTCGATACGCCGAAACAGCTCGTGTGAACTGGACGCGCAATATCGGCAACCATATCGATACCGCAAATAAGAAAGAATGGATAAACATGCTTAGTAACACGGGAATCGGGCTCATCCTGAAGAGTATCAAGGTGGACTACAAATTTGTACTGTATCCCTGAGACACAAGTCCCACACCGCTGGGACAGCAACTAGTTAAGTGGGTCTATTTACTAACTACCTACCATGCAGCCCATGGAATCTCCAGACAAAATCACTGTCTATCAAAAGTTGATTCCAGACCCTTCTAGGCATCTTTCAGCCCAATCGGCATTCCGACTCGAAGTCATGATCTTGTCTGAAGCTCACCAACGCCCTGCTGCTCGTTGCTTCGAGGATATCGTCATCTATGATTACAAGAAGAACCGCAAGACTGTCAATATCCCGCCCTTTGTCATGGAGCAATTTGAGACCATGTGGAAGCAGCAGGAGCAGGAGGAGGTGAACTGGAGGCAGCGGATTGCTGATATTGAAAATCGGGTCCGGAATCTTGAGCTTGAAAGCTGGGATCGGACTGATGCTGTGGAGGACAATGGGTCTGTGTCACAGTAATTATAACTGGGCAGAAACTTTGAAGAGCGGATCATATGCGGCTGCGGAGGACAAAATTTCCTTGTCATCCTTTCGGGCACTTGATTGACGGCTGCAGTTCTCTGCGCTTTGTACATACGCATTTTAAGTCTCGAGTATGCCTAGCTGATAATATCTCGAATGAGTAACAGCAGCAGCAATGAACAAAATCTCAGTTCAAACATGATTATGGGTCAACTTGGCTTGGGGCTTAACCCAGGTGTAAGTAGTACAAGATAGCAACGGGCTTGAAGGTGTCACATTATGTATACAGCTAGATTGGTTTGATTCGTGATCAACAGCAGCCCTAATTCATGATTAGATTGATCTCTGCTAACACTGAATTGAACTGTTCTTCATGGGCCTGTATTGTAAAAACGTCAGCTAGCTAGACGTATCATTGATGTTACTTATATTACCGAGAAACCGTTCGTCTACGGCGCAGTCTACCATATATATGACATGAGGGACTCCACTGGTCAAACGCCTCAAAGCTTCAACCTCTTTGCAATCTCAATCCCCTCCGCAATGGATCCCACCCGGGCGTCAATCGCATACCCTTCACTCTCCAACCTTTGCAACTCAGCCGAAAGCTCCGACACCGGAAGTGTGAAACAATCAATGAACTCATTATCCTCAAGGTCAGGTTTTGGGTTCTGATTTTCCGGAAGAGACATGTCAACCTGAATATAGACCATGTTGAAATTAGCATTGCAAAACCCGGGATCTGGATAAGTATACCAAGTCAGCTAATATTCAGCAGTGAGACGAGCAACGGGCTCACGAACCATTGTACATGATACCAGTAGTTTTATCAGCAACACCGATGTACCCAGTCTCTTCTTTCAGCTCCCGGACCGCAGTTTGCTCAATTGTCTCTCCTGCGTCGATCAATCCTGCAGGGAGTTCTATGACAACTTGATCGATTGGAGGCCGGTATTGCTTCTCCAAAAGAATCTCAGAGCCATTCTTCTTATTCAGAAAAGCGACGATGTTGACCCCATCAACATGGGAGTCTGTTGGTCTTGTCTACGATTTGATTAGATCGTTATAGTTGGGTTTATGTATATATAAACTCAAAATTCGTACCTGGCGCTCAGCGGACTCCCAGTCTCTTTTGACCCCGTTGGGATCGACGTAGTTTGTTTTGACTAATCTTTTCCATTTGGCTTCTTCGGAAGTCTAAAGGGTGTAAGTAGCTGAGAGTATAGTCGGCCTAGAAACACATACCAAGGGCTCTCGTGAGAGAAACGTAGACTTGAGTTGTGGCATCTTATGTATTGACCCTTTAGCTTCTCAGAATACGCGAGTAGCTGAGACCTGGGCACTACCTACAAATGGATGTAGGTTGTCAGAATTGTCCCGGTTGTTTGCAACCTTCCATGGCGGGCAGGTAACCCGCGGGACACAAGATGACTAATGTGTTGCTGGCCCCGGAGGGCCAGCAACATACAGAGATGCCCGGGTTGAAAGCCTTCGGAGGGCTAATTATTCGCTTTCTAACGTAAATACCGTATCGTATTATTTTTACCTATTTCTCTTTTTGAATTGGAGCTTCAAATCATGTTCGCCCTAGACATTGCTCTTGGGAGACGCTGCTTATGAGACAGCACCATTATTCCACACGCATGACAGTGACATGATCGCACATCTGTTCTCGGTCCACATGATTTTACTTGTATACAACAATGGAGTCAAACCTTTCGTGGCTGCCTGTGGCAATCGGACCATCCCGACGCTATCGTTGCTTCGGGATTTGAAAGGCTTATCCTGGATATGCTCTGGGGACCGATGTTTACCTATTTCTGTTAGGTTTGAGGGGTATGGTTCGTATATGGTGCCTGGGATAGTTACTTCAAACATATATTGGAGTTTATACGGAGCCTAGTCATATGAGACTTTGTTGACGCCACGGCTTGACTACATATGTATGGATATAGCTAGGTACGTATGTAAGTACACAGGTTTCTATATAGTTTCAACCTTGGAAGGGTTCAGGTGTAATAGTAATTTGATAACCTCACCGGCCAAGATCAACCAAAGAAATACCTAGGTATCTTAGTTCAATTTAAAGTTAACATTATGCGGGGGGTGGAATGTGACCCTCGGGTGACTTTCTTGTCGAAGTATAGAGCATTTTCATGTATTTCAAAGAATCATATCTATCCCTTGTTCATTCCTTAGTGGTTATATATAACTATAGTTTTCTTTCCCTACAATTTCTACAATAATTACTGGATGAATTGTTTCAGATCACTTGAGCGAAATTTGCGTTTATAGGGCATATATCTCCCTTTGACACATTTCACATTTCTGCTTTGAGATATACTATATACGCAGTATCCATGTGCATACCTGTGCACATAATATTTGCTGTCAGGTTCCTGGTGGTTCAGCCCTGGAGGACATTCAATTGCGATACACACTAACTACATGCGGCCAGAGTAAACTCTAAAAATATTTGCCTTGTGAACCACAAAAGATTAGATTGATCAATTGATTGGACTGTGAAGGTCCGAAACGGGCATTCGTAGTAGTGAGAGGATTAAGCTCTTTATTATAAACCGAACAATCTTCATAAGTTTTAGCTACGGTTTTATAATTACATTATTACGATCGGAGACCTTGCCACACCAGGAGGTAAGAGCCGGAACCAGTAGAAAAAGTGAAAAGATCGACCTTAAAAAGTCGAAGTTTATCGGACCCAAGCAAAACCCGGTTCTAAAAGAGACTAGGGGAACACACTAGTGGAAGTGCCTGCAATTTCTCCAGAATTATGTACCTTATTTGTCTAAACTTTGAACTGGAAACATATGTTGTAGAGGACTTGAAATTTAAGATACCAAAGAAGTGATGAAGGTGTACAGAGTACAAATAAGTGCTACAATGGTAGGGCTCACCGCATGCATAAAAATAACTTAAGCCATCACCAAGCCCGTCGGGCCGATCGTTACTAAGTTTGTGGCTGATCTACAAAACCCTCCAGGGCTGCCAAGTCCCGGGTATCGTATTACTAGGAGGGGGATCGGAATCAGCAAAAGCTGTACGGTGTAATTGCATTGTTGTATGTATACTTTCTAAATGGGACGGAGTACATAGTAAATAGTTATTTTATAGATATTTTGTTTCCAGTCATATTCCTCAAATATCATCTTTTTCAAGATCTAGACCTATATTCGTACTCATACGGCAAAACCTGTGAACCCATTAGGAAGATGACACAAGATAGCCGAGCATGTGATGATCCCAGCAAGAATGTGGCCAACCCTGTTGATACACACGTTTGAGACACACAAGCTTAAAATCCCCCATACTTACTCCCCATAAATGCTCTCCAGGCTCGGGATTACGTGTTCATGCCTACAGGATTTCCTCCTGATGGGTAAAAACCACACCATGATCTGAGGATTCGTAACATATATCATACAACCTTGGAACATAAGCCCAACCCAAAGGATGACCCCGCAGCAGACGGGTCAAGAAACGGTCGATCGTCAATCCAGTTAGTCAGTTTGACAGCAAATAAGGGCTGATGATCTGAATAGGCTTCCAGGATCTATACATCGTCAGTTGTACTCCATGGTCACTAACTTATCAGCACTAGTCAACCCCCATTTGGAAAAGAAAAAAAAAGGATGTCCACATAGCCGCGGCAACGGAAACCACCCGGTATCATAAAATTGCCTGGATAAATTGAAGATACGCTTAGGATTGGCCGATGTGTAGGTATCCGCGTTGCAGGACTTGGCAACTGCAGCCGTTGTAGCTCCTAGGGGGCGTGACCTGTCAAGAAATGCGAAATCCTGGAGTATTCGTAAGATATGTATGTTGTACGGAGGAGTTCAGAAGAATGAAAGCTTGGCAGTGGGTTTGGTCATGCTGGATGGGATTTTCCATGCAGAAACTCCAGATCGACAAAGAAGCCACGGGAATATATATTACCAGGAGCTCTCTTAAAACTGAATTTGCAATCTGCAGTCATTCAAGTACACAGTACCGAAATGAAATAGTGGCAGATGGTATTGAAGTTAGGTACCGCCTACCCGAAAAGCATGAGGGATCGACACTAAATGACAATACCAATACCAATTCTGTTTCTTTCGACCTCATACAATTCCACCTGGGCACTTTTTCCCCTTCACGCTTCCACGTAGAGCCTCGTCTCTTGTCCCTCTCTCATTTTCTCTCATTCTCTTTTTTTTCCTTATACATTTACTTCCTTTTTCTTTTTCCATCTTCATTACCATACCAGCCAACTCTGCACCATTTCCTTTCCCCCCCACCCACCCACACTATAGTCAATTTTAGTCCGTTTTCGCCTTTTTCCTGGTCCCAGTCCTTGGCCTCATCCCGCCAAGCTGACTCGGACCTGGGTTTCGGGCTCCCTCGTCCATGACACGCTCCGCTGCATCTAGGAAGAACCAGAGCAATCGACAGGAGAATGGCCTGGTCGGTCCCGGCAAGAAAGTAACCAAGCAAAAGTCAAGCGGCCATCTCAACGGCTGTTCGGGCAACGGCTCTGCTACCGGTCCGGGCGCGTCCGCTCATTTCGATTTATCCTCCGTGCGGTCAACTAGCGATACGGCCGTCGCATCTCCGACAGTTTCCGGCAAAGGGGGAGATAGCACGAAGGCAGATGGCAATGTGCGTGGGATATTGAATGGACATAGCAAGGGTGGAGAAATGGCAGCCGCGCAAGAAAACGGCGATGTCGCCCAAAATGGTGGCATAGCAGGTCATGCCTCTCGCAACGGAACCTCGAAACGATCTGGATCCAATGCCTCGATTAACCCGCTCCAGCTCGCATCCACCATTCTCAAATCGTGCCCCATGTACGACACCATCGCCATCTTGATCTTTTTGCTACAGCTTCCACCAATGGTCTTGACTCTGGTTCAGTTCTTGTTCGCCTCTTTAACTTTCATGCCTCCGAGTGGCGCCGCGGCCGGTTCTTTATCGTCGAACTTCGATATTTTTCAGGGTCCGGCTGGGACGCCATCTCTGGGGACGATGATTGCGATGGATGGCTTTTGCATACTTCTCTGGGGCCTCTTTATGTGGACATGGGCGCAAAACTTTGCCATCGATCTCGCTCATGTCCAGGTTGCTATCACCCTGGGTGGCGGAGGTTCCGGGAAGAATGGTGGGGTCAATGCTCTCTGTGTCGGAATTGTTCTGCTTCTTCATCTTGTTCGCAGTAAAGGCATCCAGGACTTTGTCTTGGGTCATCTTGTCTCTGCTAAACTGCTCAGTCCCGATCTCCTCTCTCAATATTCGCACCTGCTGCCCGCCGAGTTCCGACGGTCCGAAGCACAAACCTCTCCGAGCTGGCTCCGCAGCCTTCTTGCAGTCCACATCCTAGCACAAGCTGGAACCGCCATGGCACGACGTTCGATGGCCAAGAATCGGTCACCGACCCCGTTACGGACCGGCAAGCGGGGAGATACGGAGGCTTCTGCGGGGTCACAGGGACAAGCTGATTCTGCTCTGGAATCTGCTGCTAGTGTTTCGTCTTCTTTCGTGGGACCTGATGGTCAGTTGAAAGACGGAAAGGATCGCTTCACATCAGCCAAGAAACGCAGACGGCAAGCCAATCAAGTTCGGAGCCGACAGCCGTTCTGGGCTGCGCTCGCCAGTACAAAGGTCACGGTCATGAGGGAATATGAACATTCGCGGGCTGCCTCTAAAACAGCCCGCAATCTCACAATGACGGAGGAGGATTTGCAGGGTGTTTCTCTCGACGACGGGTTGATATGGATTACGGATGTGGATAGCTCTTCGATCAAATTCGCCGCAGGAGAATTTACCGATGACCCCGCTGTGTCGGGTTCCTTTGAAACCGGCCGTTTGGGGGAGACATGGAACCGTTCTACGTCTGCGTCAACGGTGCGCTCTGGGCTACGGCTTCGATATGCAGGGTTTCAGATGCTAAGGGGCCGAGCGTTGTCCAATGGCGGGGCGAGATCGCTGGACTGGCCCCCAACTGCGCCTACACATGTGCATTTGTACGAAGCGATACCGACGAGGAAATCTGTGCCATGAGTGTCAAGACGCCTACGACAACTGACACAGAGCAAAGTAAGTTCACGTTAAATAACACCATGTCTTTTTCAATAAGCTCATTGCTTGAACAGTCATTTCCGCGGTATCGACACCCCCGCAGCCGACCTACCGTCCATCATCCCCCACAACGACCCTCAAGAACTCTATCAGCAATGCGGAATCCAAGTTGAACGAAAAGCGCAACCGTCTGAAAAAGACGAAGAACGACCACAAAGCTGTTATCACGAAAATCCGGAAAGAACTCGAGAACTTCAACACTCGCCTCCACAGCGGAGGTGACGAGAGCCGCCAAAAGCAGCGTTCGCTTCAATTGGAACGAAACATCCGACAAACCGAAGAGGCCACTGCAGTGCTAGAGGTACAACTCGACACTATGGGAAGTGTTCCTGAGGAGGATATGGAAGAGTGGTCGACGCACAAAGCGGATTTCGAACGCGAGGTAGAGCTTTTCAATTCGACGAAGGAAGAGGTTACTGCTGCTCGGGCAGCTGCAGCTCAGCAGGTGGCGGCACTGGAGTTGGAATTGACTCAGGTTATCCAGAAGCGCGAGCGTCTCCAGGGTCGCCGCACTCGGGTGAATGAGCAGTATGAGCGTATCATCTCGGCCAATGCACAAGGGTTGAATGAGAGAGAACGTCGGGCTGCCGAACAATTTGCCAGAGAGCAGGACCAGTCAAAGATGGAGACCAATTTCCATGAGCAATTCGCGAGCATCAGCCAATCTGTACAGGATTTCCAGCTGCGCACGAGTCAACTCTGGCAGCAGGCATCTGCAATTGAGCAGTCCATTCAGCAGCAACAACAGCAGATGCTCGTCGAGTCCGGTCCTCTCACCCCCGAAGGCAACTTGCCAGGCACCAATCCTTTGCCTGAGACCAGTGGTCCGTCGTTCAACGTATCTACGTCCACTGCACCTAGCGCTCGATCTCTGTTGGGGGGTCTCGGCTTTCCTGCGAGGTCTAGTCCACTGCAGATTTCGTCTTCGCCAGTGCACGAAATGCCGTCAAATCCAACTAGCCCATCGCAAGACCTTCCCTTCCTCCCACAGTTTCCAACCTCTCCCGTCGGCAACGTGGGCTCATACTTCGGGTCGGACATCAACCACCGAGATCGTTCGTTCTCCAACCGCTCTACTCGCAGCAGCCAATACGGCTCTGACTTCTTGGACGCGAACCGCTTGCCACCTCTCCAGCTTGATCTGGCCGAATTACTTGGTGAAACCAAGCCTCGCCCTGGGTCCGATGGAAATGGTTTCCTGCATCAAGGTGGCCGTCCGGTTTTGAGCCCTTTCCAGCGAGCATTAAGTCGAGGTAGTGGCACTGGTAGTGGCAGTGGTGGTAGTGGCAGTGGAACTGGCAGTCCGCATTCGTCGCGAGACTAGTTCTCGTGGCGGTTGCTTCTGTGGTTTCATGCCTAGCCGCGCTGTCAAACCGGTGCTCGATCTCAATTCCGTGCTTGTCTTCCGAGAAGTAACCTCAAGTTTTGTGCGTCTGTGCTTTTGGTTCTGTCCGGTTGGATTCCCGCATTGTGCTAGTCAACCTCTTTCTCATCGGCTCTCACTGTGATGGCCCCTTGTTTATTGAGTCATTGTGGTTGTGTGGCATGCATCTCGCGATGAGATAGCAACTCTATGGATTCGATCGAAGTGAGGTACATGGCAGCTCTGTTCCTAACACCGAAAAAAAAAAAAGTGTTCTATACTCGGTTGTTGTATACTCTCTCTCTCACAAAAAGCGTAGACGCATCAATATCATGAAAGCATTTCTCATCTTCATCTCTCCATATTTACTGTAGGATTGCATCGTGGATATGTCGTTGAAAGTGGCTGCGATACCATATGTCTAATTAAAAAAATCTATGTACAGGCCAAACGCCATAATCCCGAGTTACATATATATATACAGTGCTTTGCCGGAAGGCATAAGCGATGAAGCCTTATTTATGGCTCGAATGAAACCAGACAAGTGAGACAACTGTCCCAGCTCAAAGCTCACCCCCCATCTTCCAAAACTTGGTATTTGCATACGCTAAACAAAGCCGTTCAGGCGAATGCTCATCCAAGAACTTGTCATTTTGTCCCAGCGTCGAAATAGACCCAGAGCCCTCGATCGCCCGAACAACAGTACCCAGCACAATCGAGTGATCATGCACATCAATCTTCTGCGGATGTAGGGTACATTCAAAAACAAATGGAAAGTCAACACCATCATTAGCTGCTGCTGCTTCCGTCCTCCGCTTAAGAATAGGAAGCGGTCTTTGAGGATGTCCATCTTCGTTCTCAGTAGGCAAAGCCGCGAACTCAAACTCCCCATGTCCCTTTAACATAGCAGCGAGGGTGACATTCCCCTTAGAGAAATCCCTAGCTAGAGTAGCAGTCTTCGGGCCGGGTGCAAGCAAATGAACTAGAAACCGGCGGGAAGCGAGTAGCGCATTCAACGTTTCCGATGGGCGGCGCACGTTGAAAGAGATCACAGGGTGTGGGGTGAGAGTGACGGTGCTGAAGGAGGAGACGGTCATACCGCGGAAGGAGGTTGTGTCTTCTGGACCGGAGGGATCGGTCGCTGTTATGATTGCGACGGGGTATGGGACTCGACGCATGAGGAGGCGGACTTGGTCGGATATAGATACCGAGAGTGTTGGCGGTTGCGGTACGTTGCCTGCATTGGACGGGGTATTGGTCTTTCCTGTGCAATCATTTTCTTTTAGAGGGGCTGTGGCATTGCTGGTATATCGTCGTTGATCGCATCGTGATCGGTATTGGGTATATGGTACAGGCGGAGAGGTGCGGAGGGGAAGGAGATGTTCCCAGGAACCGGGGTGTGTAGTTCGTAATGCATAGTAGTTCTAATGGTTCACGTTAGTACACTTGACAGAAGCACTTGGAAATACACCATAACAACCTACCTCCGAGTCCTGTCCGAACAGTCCCATGCGCGACTGGAAAGACGAGCTTCATCCCGCCGGCCTAGAATTGACGGAGCTTTGAAAGGCACTCAGGGAATCACGCAGGACACAAAATCACAGATATCCAGACTCTGCCAATTCATGTCTAAATCCTCAGCAAAAATGAAGAGGAACTGACAGAGACAACAGGGCAATATGAAGTTATGCTCAACATCGAAGTTATGAAAAATCCCGAGGACCCGCTTACATAACCCGCGATAATTTCTCTGCTATAGCATCAACTTCACAAACCTCCGCAACCTCCCCGATAGCCATTGCGACCCCGTCAACCTCCGCCCTCCCGGACAATCCCATTATTATCTCTATCGGCATTGCCGAACCCACCACATCCAATATGTCAATGCACACTTCCCTCCGCCGCACCGCGGCCACAATCACCAACTCAACAACCACCATCCTCCCTACAAGACTCCCCACGCAAACAAGCGGCACAACCTTCGTCTGCTCCCAATGCCGACACGCAACTCTCCTCCGCCGCCCCAAACGCCCTTACACCTTCACACAGCTCATCACGCTTTCGGACGGCAGCACCTTCACGCACCGCACGACCTCCCCGGCCCCAATCTACCGTTCCACACGCGACACGCGCAACTCTCTCCTCTGGAACCCGTCCAGCAGCAAGCTGATGAACGTCGAGGAGGATGAGGCCGGTCGTCTCGCTGCTTTCCGTGCCAGATTCGGTCGCAGCTTCGATGCCAGCGCGCCCGTTGATGAAGAGGCGGCGGCTAAGGATCCCGTTGCTGCTAAGCAGGCAGAGGCAGAGGCGAAAGCTCAGGCTAAGGCCGAGCAAGAAGAGGAGGATAACTTGCTTGATTTGATTAGTGCTTTCGGACAGAATGAGGCGCCGCCGCCGCCGCCTGAGAAGAAGACTCCTAAGTTCACGAAGAAATAGTGGGCTTTGGATTGACTAGGTTGAATCAGAGTGTCTGGCAGTTTGAGCTGCTTGGATGGGAGAGGAGTTGGGATCTTCTTTTGTCTTCTTTTTGTGTTTTTCTTTTTCTTTTTCTTTTTGTGTTTTTGATCTTGTACAATATGTATACATATGTCTGGTATGAGCCTGCTGTATTATACCAAGAATTCATCTTTTCTCTCATCCATGCTATACTATATATTTGTTAAGTCTATGCTGATGCCATGGGACTTTAAAGCTTCTCTTTCTCCAAATCTTTTAAGACAGGGCAGATTCGATGACTTACGATACAGCACCTGGTCCATCTTGCTCGTCAGTCTCATACAACTAGATATATACCTAACACAAACTAACAGACCCAAGGCCCTCGGTCTAGAGTCAAGAAAAGTAAAATTCAAACATGCATTAGCATCCATCACCTCACCTCAGCAACAACACTCGACCCAGCCTGCAAATTAACTAGGTTCATGGACATTCCGCTACTTGATAGTCTGGTCTGGGGGAGGCTGCATATAATGACGTGGAGGATGCGAGAATGAAAACAATTATACAAGTAGAGAAGATAACTATTTAGTTAGCTAATAACTAGTTAGTTAGTTATAATTTATCTTATAGTTGAGGCTTATTAAATGGCATGCTGAATAAGATTGTTCAGTGGCAGATCTCCTTAGGTACCCTCTTCCCCCCGCTGAAACGTCGATTGGTTACTCGGCACTCTTGGCGCAAAACCTCGGACAATAACCAAATTGGTTGCAATCGTACTCAGGTCCTCTCCCAACCTTGGAATTATTTACTCTTAACCTAAGCTAATCTGTCGCAGCCCATCATGTGCCCTGCAGACCAAACCGTCGCAACGAACAATGACCACTTGGTCCAGTCTGAGGACCCCGAACACCCCGCCAACCTTATCCCCGAACTCTGTCGCAAATTCTACAACTGGGGATGGGTTACCGGCACTGGAGGTGGTGTAAGCTTATACTTGCAAGGGAAAAAAAAAATACAATCGTACTCCGCTGACGGAAAAGTAGACCTCGATCCGCCAAGGTGACCACATCTTTATCGCGCCGTCTGGAGTTCAGAAGGAATTGATGCAGCCCAACAACATCTTCGTGCTCCAATGGCCCACCCCCAAGTACCCTGCCTCGGACCGCAACTACATCCGCAAGCCCCTCAAGCTCAACCCCTCCGCCTGTACTCCGCTATTCCTAACTGCCTTTGAGCAGGGTGCTGGCTGCTGCATTCACACTCACTCGCAATGGGCGGTTCTAGTCACCCTGTTGGTGGAGCGGGAGAAGGGCCCTGATGCTTGCTTCGAGATCAGCAACATCGAGCAGATCAAGGGTATTCCCCGTGGAAAAGGAAAGGGCATGCTTGGATTCTTTGATAATTTGAAGATTCCCATTATTGAAAACACCGCCTTCGAAGAGGACCTCACCAGCGGTTTGGAGGCAGCCATGAACAAGTATCCGGACACATACGCGGTGCTTGTCCGCAGACACGGAATGTAAGTGATGGTAACCTCACTCCATGTGGTACTGATGCGGTATACTAATGCTGGTCCTTCCCGCAGTTACGTCTGGGGTGATAACACTGCCAAGGCGAAGACTCAGTGTGAGAGTCTGGATTACATCTTCCAGCTGGCTGTGGAAATGCACAAGCTGGGCCTCCCGTGGGTCAAATAGATACTGTGCAGTATTAATGACCTGTTTTATGCCGATGGTGATTGGAGCTGGGAAATCGTGGATGACTATGTGAGAAGCTCCAATTGAAATGATGTGACGTATTGCGACATGGGGACATTTAGAACAAGCTAGCCAGGGGCTGGGCACATATTATCGGGTAATGGCTGGCAACGAGGGAACTGTATTCGACATAAGCATAAATAAACAGTCTTCAATTTATCAAAAAGCAGTGCCAATGGCAAAAAGTAGTTGAATAAGTCAAAGATGAGAGAAACACCACATGGGGGCACTCCGGATCCCGTGAGTGACTAAGGATGCGGATCAGCCTCCACTCCAACCAGCTCCCTCTCCAACTCCATGTCGCATCCTCGAAGCTCCGATTGAACCATTAATATTAATTCGTTGATTTGTATTCTCGCCGTTATCCCCTTCCTTTCGCTTCGATCTTATACCGGTAACAATGGATCTCGACTCTGGAGATTCCCCGTGGGGCGGTAGGCAGTCATGACACCACACAGCTCTTTGATTCCACGGTCTGATTTATGATGCAGATGAGCCTTCACAGTTCAAGGCCAGCGATGGCTCCTCCAAACCCAGCACTCAGGGAGGTGGTATGTTTTTATCTGGCTTGCTCTTTCCACGACCTCTCACTAAGCGCACTCTACCATACAGCAGCTGCACAAGCCCCCGCGTCATCAGACAGCTCACCCGCTGTCCGCGTACCAGGAAGAAGAGGCCCCCGAGGCACACGCAAGATCAGCGCACAAGCCACTAAACTCGAATCCGTCGATGATTCCGTTGACCCCCTCGGTCCATTGGGAGAAGCGCCCGCCGAGGCCATCCCAACACCCACAGACGAGGCACCAGCACCGCCCCAGAAGGAGCCGTTCGCCGGACGTGGCGCGCGACCAATGTCCTCTCCCTCCCAGACATCCGGCGGAGTGGGAGCAGCGGACTCAACCAATGTGGAAGATGAGAGCGCGGTCTTCCGAGGACCTCCTCCTGTGCAACCGCCGGTGCAAGCGGATGGACCGAAAAGACAGACCCAGCCTAGCATGAGCGTGGAGCAAGCTGCGAAGCCCACTTTTCAGATCTATGTCGGAGATCCACACAAAGTGGGAGATTTGACAAGCAGTCATATCGTTTATCAAGTTTCAACGAAGGTAATTGGACTACATGGACATGATAAACCTGCAGATTGGGACAAGAAGAAACTGACAGTAATTGGTATGGCTAGACAACATCTAAGGCCTATCGCCAACCCGAGTTCACTGTCAGCCGTCGATACCGTGATTTCCTCTGGCTCTACAACTCCCTGCACAGCAGTAACCCGGGAGTGGTTGTTGCACCTCCGCCCGAGAAGCAAGCAGTTGGCCGCTTTGATACCAACTTTGTAGAGACGAGGAGAGCTGCTTTGGAACGAATGCTTAACAAGATTGCCGGCCATCCTATTCTTCAACATGATGGCGATCTGAAAATCTTCCTGGAAAGTGAAGCTTTCACCGTTGATGTTAAGAATAAGGAAAACCGTGAGCCCGATATTGGCCCAAGCAAGGGAATGCTGAGCTCCTTTGGTATCTCCGTTGGTGGAGGAACCAAATTTGTGGAGCACGACGATGTAAGTGAATCGTGTCTGATACAATGGTCTCGCCCGCTCACATGTAGATAGTGGTTCCACGACCGAAAAGTCTACTTGGATGCATTGGAGAACCAGCTTAAGGCTCTATTGAAATCAATGGATACTGTGGTCCTACAACGAAAGGGCCTGGCCGAGGCCGCAGGCGACTTTTCGAGCTCATTGCATGCCTTATCTGCCGTCGAGCTGTCTCCCGCCCTCTCCTATCCATTGGAGGGCTTGTCAGAACTCCAATTGCGCATTCGGGAACTTTATGACCGACAGGCGCAGCAGGATGTTCTGACACTTGGAATCACCATCGATGAATATATCCGTTTAATTGGAAGTGTCAAAATGGCTTTCACACAGCGGCAAAAGGCTTTCCACACCTGGCATGCAGCAGAGTCCGACCTACAGAAGCGGAGGAATAACCAAGACAAGCTACTCCGCCAGGGAAAGACTCAGCAAGACCGCTTGAACCAAATCAACGCCGACGTCGCAGATGCAGAGCGCAAAGTCCACCAAACGCGGCTGCTCTTCGAGGATATGGGCCGGCTTATGCGAAACGAGCTACAACGGTTTGAGAAGGAAAAGGTGGAGGACTTCAAGTCCGGCGTTGAAACCTTCCTCGAAAGCGCAGTCGAGGCTCAGAAAGAGGTAAATTCTTGTCCACCTTTGCGGGTTTATATCACCCAGCTAACCCGAAATACAGTTGATCGAACTCTGGGAGACATTCCTCCTGCGTCTAGATGCTGGCGAGGAAGGGCTTCCGTATTATGTACCACCCGAGGCGAGCGATGCACCTGCTCCGACAGAGCCTGCAGCATCGGGCCTAGAATCAGGGCTACTGGCCGCTGAGGATGACGCTTGATATATCCCTCATTTGTAGTGTGCCTTTTTTCCCCACAACTCCCAAACTAGCACTGTTTTATCTCGTCTTGGCTTGTATTCATTATGGAACAACCCTTTCGCGATGTTCGTTTATGCTATGCCATGCTGCAACTGATGATGATGCCTAGCAAGCTGAGACGCTTTGTGTTTTTTTTCTTTCTTTTATTTCCGCTTCACTCCGAATACCACTGTTTGCGTATTGTAGCACTGTCTGTTGTCCATAGCACGTATCACTATCACCGTGGTTTTCAAATTCGAGCTTTTACAGTGGATCTTAGGGATGAATTCATCCATGAGAGAGACATGGATGAATTCGGTTGCAAGACTTTGCTATAACGGTTGGACGCTTGGCACGGTTACTATTATTACTATGTATGCTAGCTATAACTAACTGTTGTGTAGACATCTGACTGCCCAGGCCGTGATGTTAGGCTGGCCACCTAGATAAGTAGCTCTCTCTGGAGATCTGTAGGAATCAACCTTTCCTCTCTCTCTCTCTCTCTGGCACCTAATAGCTTCCTCACTAACTACTCTAAATGCCACTACTTCTGCCCTCGCCGCTCATCAAGGCCGCGAAAGGACTTACGGCGTTGCCCAGCGGGGAAGGACTGAGGACCGGACCGTACAGACTGGTTTGGCCAATGTGAACAATCACATGAGGCTATTCTAACCCGCATGGAGGATCACATTCGGTAGTTCTGAGGGTAGTCACCTAAGACTTGCAGCGCGTCGCTAGACCAGCTTGACCACTGTGAACAACCTGCATGAGGAAATTGAGGAGTTCTACTGCGATTTATGTTTTCATTTTTCTATTTTTAAAGGGTTTCTGGCGTCTGTTAGTGTAAATGGAGCCTATGGCTGAAACGCAATGAAACACATTCTTCACTAAGCACAACATGAGCGATGAGTAGAAGTGTAAGGTAATGTTCTGCAGAATACAATATGGCGCACTGGTGACTGGCGGCTATACACTGCCGAAGACGGATAACAAGCGGTACCTACCTACCTAGGTAGGTAACTATCCATGGATGGTATCTACGGGCGACTAAGTATGCTGGCACATACAACAGTCTACCCTAAAGATTCACCCACCCCCTAAACTAGCGGCCGAGAGATCTGCCAATTTTCTAATTCAATTCAGATTCAATTCAGATTCAATTCAGATTCAATTCAGATTCACTTCAGATTCAATCTACTTTAAAAGTCCCTATGCCACTTAGAAGGCATTAATTGTATTAACAAATCTGTGGGGAGGAGTGAGAGTTCATCGTATACACGGCCAATGTCTCTTAGAAAATGCACAACGTGACCTTGGTAGCGATACTGCTGGCCACGGATCAAGCGAACTTCGAGAAATACATGAACCCGCGATATCAAGATCTCCTCCATCTGGGTGAGCTCCGGCAGCATAGGAGGCATCTCGTCCGGCTGCATGTTATTTAGCGCACTAAATAACCCTACAGCCTGATCCTGACCTCTATCAGCCTTTCGGTAGTTAGAGCAAACCCCATCGGCAAGCTCCATGTTGAACCATCGCTGACGGCAACGGGAACAGGTCTCCATTGAGTACGATTGTAGGCGGTTGTAGAACGACTCGATCAAGGACCACTCTTGATCGGAGACAGTGGGATCAGACGGCCGAGATCCAGTGGTTAGTGGTATCGGACGGGTATGAGTTTCAGATTCGTGAGGGTTCGGAGAGCTAGCTTGCTCTAGGAGAGGCGCTTGTTCCGGAAGAGGAATAGGGTTATTGTCAGGGAGTGCTTGTGCTTGTACTCTGGCCTCTGCTCGTATACTAGCTTGCGTTTTGGCTTTGGCTTTTGACCGTATATCGCTGTCACGGCACCTCTGGCATCTTTTGACCTCACCGGCGCGGAACTTAGAGCGGAACTAGTCCAGAGGTAGCGTTCGCAAGCACTGTGTATAGGTCCTAGTCGGGGGATCCGGCGAGCCCTCTATATAGATATCTGTCGTTGGAAACGAGAATGCAAGGGGATCTGGAGATGACTCGATTGGAGCCGAGCTCTCCTCGGTAGGTGGAGGGTCCATAGAACGCGTACTGGCTCTAGCCACGACGCGGCAATCTTGACAATTTCGCGTCTCTCGGCGTGTAGATACTAACTGAAATTGATGCAAGGGACGTACATGTCCATATCGAGAGTATAGCTTTGAATCCATGGGGTAGGAGAAGGGTGAATGATTTGGCTGAGATATATACTACGAGCAATAATCTAGTTGAACATATTGTTGAACTCCCATGCATGCATGCATGTTGTTTGCTGCAGACTGAGCCTTTTGATATTTGTTTGCTATTTGCTATTTGCTATTTGTTGTTTGCTACAATTGAGCAATGTTCAGATAGTTTCTACAGGGTATATAAACCCCTGCATTATTAGTTTTACCAATTAACAATTCTTGCTTTGCTTTCTCCCACACACATAGTAGTAATCTACCATAGATTGCTCATCACATATTACACGAATATGATTGGTCAATTCCAATATTCACTAACTAGATTGGGTCTAGTCTACATTTATTCTACCGGGTCAAAATCCACAGAATCTACACGGTGAAAAATTGATCGCTGAGAACCGGAATAAAATCCAGGTCACGTGACATGCGAGGCCCTTATGATTTATATTGCTTCGCTTCGCTCCGCAATTAACCTTATAATCTAGGTCTTCAATTAGTTTTTGTAAATTGAGAGTAGATCTAAATTACCACTGGCAATAGAATGAGTCGCCCGCAGTCGCCCAGGATTTCCGAAAGCTAAACCTAATTGGGAACTATATCATTGCGTGCTTTACAATTTGAATGAGCATAACTTAGAAGGACTTGGATGAAATTTATGCCTCTCAAGACCTTTCTCTAGTTTGACACTCTCCAATTCGTAACATATCCTATATAGGAAGCGACGTTAAAGTCATACGCTAATTGTGCACTAGTAAAACTGAGTGGAGGTGGGTGGATCTTTACCAGGTAGACTGTTGTACATAGTGTAACTATGTGTATTTTACTAAACAATGGGCATTGATAGAAATTGACATAGAAATAGAGATATTGTAGAGGCTGAGATATCGAAGGTTATATATATCAAAGTTCCCTTTATAGATTAAGCCCTTTTTTTTAGCCATTTTCTACTATCTACCAGATGAATTGAGGAGGGAGAGAAGATACTTATACAACTAGATATCTAGCAAAGGAGACCACTAGAAAGACCACAGCCGTATAGGCGGTCAATTATGTCTTATTATAGGAATTGGGATATTGTAGTAGTATCCACTATGTAGATATAGAAAAGTCCTCCGTACAATTTATTCTTTCTACCGCCTTCTAATATATCTAAGAAGAATCTTTCCGTTCCTTACGCAACATAGAGATTTTCCAGTGCACTCCTAGTTCTATAGTAGTCCTACTGGCCTCCTCTCTAACAAGTTAGAAGCACCTTGCTGTTGAAGCCTCTAACTAGTTACATATAACTGTATACTTAACGCCTTATATTTCCTCCGACCCCTGGTTCTTAGGCCTATGACCCCGGCATACCGTGGGTTGGGCTTTGTGGAAGCCCACCGATGGTGTCTAGTAACAGGTAGTTAATTGTAGTTGGTACGGTAGTAGGTGGTGGTCGAGGGATAGGCTTGGCTGTGGCTACTGTATATGCTGAAGCTGGCGCGTATACCCCCGTTTATCTTTTCCTCTATCAAATTTGAACAGTCCCCTATCCCTCCTTTAGCACGCAATTCTCTATCGTATAACGATTGCTGCTCCTAAGACGGCGGAAGTACTCGCTTCTAAATATCAAACACAAGCTTTGTCACCATGTTCGAAGAAATCTCAGCGGCTATTAATAAGTTCTAGAAAGACTTCGGTAAACTAGCTATGGTTATCGCTAATGCGGGAATTTGCTTTCAGTATATAAGAGAGGAGTTCTAGGAGATCATAGAGGTCAATATCAATAGGACTTTCTCTACCGCGCAGGTTCGCGTCGAGGGTAACCGCGAGACGAGGACTCGGCAGTAGGCTTCCGTACGACCAGACTGGCCGATTTGTCGGAGTGGTGTATATCTTCATGGATGTTTCACCCTCACTTTTCGTAGTATTAGATACCATCAGTAATTGGCAATTGTAGACATCTGGAAATAGTTGGACACTTACCAAGATAATCAATACCAGTAGGGAAATTATGGGTTTAACTACAGCCCGGCTAGGTCAAGTAACTTCTTCTCTGAGATGAGCCCATGTGGAGAGGACAATAAGGTCCCTGAGACTCATTAGACCATACTGGAGGACCAGAAGTATTAACCTCCAAACCTTTTCATTTTGGTATGAAGGCGACCGTGACGGGGGAGTAATGCATGTTGATGTTGCCACCGTCTCGGGGATACCTTTGATCTTCGGCTAAGGGAAGGTGATAACATTAACAATTACCTACCTAGGTAGGTATAGGGTCACTCTTGATCTATTATCCCCGCAATCCCCCGCAATCCCCACATTCTCAACCCCCGGAATCGACGACTTTACGAGGTTCCAACTTGGGTTCTTCGGAATGCTACCAAGAAATTAATCGCGTCATGGGCTCCCGTCTCGGAGGCAGCCTGTCTCGTGGAGTGAGAATGGAATAAGCTAAAGCTCGACCCCGGACTTTACTTTGGCTCCACAGAATAGATGTAGATATAAATATGAGAAATATAAATATATAACAGCGACGGTGTCCGAGTCAAGTGGATTACCAGAAGCATTGACTTTACCCTGTGCTCAAAATGTTGAAGTCAGGAAAGCCGTATTTTGGCCTCCGAGGCGGATGGCTCACTTTCTGGATCACACTAGCCTGTGGTGCTGACATGACCCTTTATGGATACGACCAAGTTTGTCAAACTTCACAAGCTCTCAGATATGCTGGACTAACACGGTTACCTAGGGAGTTTTCAGTGGAGTCATCATCTCCCGTGACTTCCTTCGACTGCATAATCTCGAAGGACCTACCAATACAACAATCCTGGGGACTGTGGCCGCCATTTACGATGTAGGTTGCTGTCTCGGTTCCCTCCTTGCCTACCGGCTCGGAGAACAGCTTGGACGCAAAAGCACCGTGCTGGTGGGTACAATCATCATGTCCATTGGTGCCCTTCTGCAAGCATCCTCCTATAGCCTGGGTCAAATGATAACGGGTCGAATCATCACCGGGATTGGCAATGGTATGCCCAAGCACCATGAAGCTTTGAGTTAGTTATATAAGGGCTAATTATTTTTCCAGGTCTCAATACCTCAACAGCACCAGTTTGGCAGGTGGAAACATCGAAGGTCGAGTGGCGAGGAAAATTGGTCATCCTTGAAAACTGTCTCGTCCTCGTCGGCTTTTCTCTTGCCAATTGGCTAAACTACGGTCTCTCGTTTGCTACTGGCCCAGTATCATGGCGCTTCCCCTTGTCTTTCCAACTCATCTTTAACATCATATTGTTCTGCACCGTTCCATGGCTTCCGGAATCTCCAAGGTATATATATAAACATGTCTTCTTTGGACAGACCCTTCCATTAATCGCTTTATAGATGGCTCATTGCCCACGACCGTTCAAACGAAGCTGTTCAGATTATCTCGGACATCGAGGACAAAGACATTAACGACGCCTTTGTTCAACTTCAAATGAGCGAGATACAATATAGCGTGGAGTACGAGCGAGCCAATAGTGTCAGCTTCAGCGATATTTTACGTGGGCGAGCCCATGAAAAATCAGGCACAAAAACAGTCCGTCGCCTTATCCTGGGAATGGGAGCCCAAGCGATGCAACAGTTTACCGGAATTAATGTGACGTCTTATTATCTGCCAACTGTGCTAACCAAGTCCGTCGGATTGAGTGAAACGTTAGCAAGGCTGCTCACAGCTTGCAATAGCGTTCAGTACCTTTGCTTCTCTATGATAGGTATTCCGAATGTCGAGCGATGGGGTCGACGTATGCTTATGATATTCGGCGCTACGGGGATGTGTTTCTGCTACGTATTTATCACGGCTCTTATCCGGTACAATGAGATGCCAGAATATCCACATCGCCACGACGTGGCGTCAGCATCAGTGGCCTTCTTTTTCTTGTACTACGTCTTCTTTGGAATTGGTATGCAGGGCGTGCCGTGGTGTAAGTTCATGATCCTGGCCTCCCTCCTCCCGTCTGTGAATCTTTTGCGCCAACTGACTCTATAGTGTATCCTACTGAGATCAACTCGCTCACAATGCGGACAAAGGGAGCCGCCCTGGGAGCTGCCACAAATTGGATCTTTAATTTCATGGTTGTTGAAATTACACCCATCGGCATACAAAACCTCGGCTGGCGATTTTATATCATTTGGATCGTGCTGAACGCGGTGATGGTACCTACCATTTACCTTTTCTACCCGGAGACAGCAGGTCGCTCTTTGGAGGACATTGATGACTACTATCGCGGCAATCCTCCCCTTCTGGTCTGCCTTGATAAGGAGGCAATATCTAGCAAGCGCCCTGAGAAATATCAAGCACGCGATGAACACATCATGCATGCCAAAGAAGGTGAGACGGCACAGCACTTGGAAAGTGTGGAGAATACCAATGCGTGATTTGAGAACATCTGGATTTCGGAGACCCTAACGATCATTGTATCAAAGCTCCTATTGAAGAAGCATATGACTTCGATTCTGCAAGACTTAAACTAGTGCCCACTGATTGATTGTATGCAGACGCTCAATGCATTTGCCTTTGCAATTGCTTACAACGACGGGTTGTCAAGTCCCGCTGCCATTATGTATATTCATTTTCAATCAAATGGGAAATCTTCTGTACAAACCCTGAGTAGAAATAGAAAAGTCCTCTGCACAGATTATGTTTTACTGTCTTTTAATACACATGAGTAGACATCTAAAAAGACATGAAAAGGTCACATAAGCAGCCGACTATTCTTGTTTCGATATAAACACCCTAACTACTCAAACTAGCTCTTTTGGATTAGGTTCCCCTGTCTCTTCCTATACACCTGTTGATACTTTCCGTCATTTAATCATAAAAAGGAAAAGTAAAGCCACACTAGCACAAATGTAAGATACACCACAGAATACCTGTGCGTTTCGATATGGTTGGTAGGACCCTAGACGGCGTAGTTTGAGTGCTATAACTTCGGAGACTATAATTTCATATCAGCCCAAGATCTCCGGGCCCCGCATGTGAAGTCCTTACATGTTGTAGGGAGCACAATAAAAGACCAAGACAAAGAGAGGAGCGATTGGAGCTGCTCCAACCCAGCGACCTCAACACACAAGGGTCCCACAGTCTAATAGGAAGTTCAGCAACCACGTACAATCAATACAGACTGCATCAACTTACAACCCAGAAGACCCCGAGAATAGCCCCACTAATGAAGGCGAAGAGAACAAGGACGCCGTATGATGTCGAGGGAAGCCAAATGACAAAACAAGTAACACCACAAAAGCAAGTCAAGAGGCCGGCGACCTCAATCCTGCCAAAACGATCGCTGGCAACACCAATCAGTGGCCGACCAATAGCAGTCCCTAAGTTTAGGATCGCGTTAACAATTGTAGCTTGGCTGTCAGAGAGTCCAATGGAGCGTGCATAATCCGGAAGTGAAAACAACAGACAAATATAGCCAAGCATACTAAGAAAAGCCCATGATAGCAATAGAAGCACGTCTAAACGACGTAAGAGTTTCACGTCGAATCCCCGCTGGGACGGCTGTATAGCTTCATTGCGATTTCGGATTAGTAAAATGGCGATGATCAGTATTGAGCAACTGATAATAGCTGTCAATCGTAGAGCCCAAGGAAGAGATATCTTCTGAATAATTGAACCATCCATAAACGAAAAAATCAACCCACCAATACCTGACCCAGCCGCGCTGATCCCGTTGGCAAGACTTCTTTTCTTATCGAACCACTGAGAGAGAACAGGAATGCTTGGTATGTAGATACATCCAACTCCAAATCCAATCAAAACCCCCTGTGACAGATAGAGCTGCCAGATTCTTTGTGAAAAGGACGCAGAGACATACCCCGATGCTAAAAGCCCTAGACCAAGGAACATCGGTAACTTGGTGCCGTACTTTCGAGCGATGACTGTAACAGCAGGGGCTACCAACATTGCCATGGAGAAATTTAAACCCCCAATTAGTGCAAAGTCCATGGGAGTAGCCTCAGGGAACATGTTGTTCGAGAGATAGTGTGCCAAGTACACGCCGTATGACTGTTAGAACATAAGCTGAGTTGCCGTTGACACGGTCGATGGAGAGACAACGCACAGAGACTGCGCCCCACGTGAAGCAGTTTATAGAAAAGCACGCGGCCACGCATATCCAGCCATAACCGCCGTCTGGGGGCAGAGAGGTGTTGGAAGAAAGCGACATTGTATAGTATCAACATGAAACTGCGGGGAACAAAGTCTCTGTGTGGGGATTCCCTCGGTTATTAAATATAGTTTGACTCCCAGTAGCCTATACATGCATACGGGGGAGGCGAGATATATTTAAAACAGAGGTAATCGAATGCATTGCTACGAGTCTCGACTTGCCGAATGTGGTATGTCACTGTTCCTTGGCATCGCTATTTACACACGAATGATCGACAAGAACTCGAACATGACTTGATAACAATACAAATATGCTAATAGTTTCGATGAATGCTTATACGGCCTGGCATCTCTTTTGATAGTCATTCCCAAGGCCATTTTAGATGTCTTCTTTAACATGTATTTCCCCGTCATTGGTACTGTAGCTAGAATATAGGCGAAAAAGGCTTTAAATGTGAGAACCGACGTTTCTATGTATACTAAACTTCGAAAGAGGCAGTAAAAAGCATACTTTGTGGAGAGCATTGTTCTATATATAGCCAGGGAAGGCATTCTCTATATTATTCTATGTCTTTTAACTGGATCTATATCTTTCAACTGGATTTTGCGGCAAGCAGCTTTGCCTCCTTTACCTTTCTTTCCTCGCGTTCACTAAAACGGTCACCAAAAAGACCGATGTGAGGCCGCATCAGAATCGTATATTTGACAAACTCCTCCATGCAATCCACCAGACGATCTCTGTTACCGCTAGGCATGAGTCGTTGATCTTCCGGTTGGCCTTCGTCGGGGAACTGTGTATATGCCTTAGGGATCGAAGACTGATTCGGGATCGTAAACATACGCATCCACCGACCAAGGATACGCAAAGAGTTGACCGCATTGAACGATTGGGATCCACCGCACACTTGGGCAATGGCCAGCGTTCGGCCTTGGGTGGGACGGACACTTCCGGTAGACAGAGGAATCCAATCGATCTGATTTTTGAACACAGCGGTCTAACATTGCGGGAAATCGTAAGTAAATAAAATACGTTAAATGTTAAAATTATGGCGAGAGATTACTCACCAGATTGCCGTGCTGTTCCGGCGAAACCCAGACATGCCCATCGCTCCACACACTGAGTTCTCTGAGCTCCTGTACTTTCGGATGGGCGATATCACTCTCGTTCTTCATAGGAAGGCTTTCGGGGTTAAAGACGCGTACGTCACAGCCGAGTCGGAAAAGGATACGGGAAGCTTCCAATGCTACCAGTCGGGAATATGATCTTTTGCGAAGACTGCCATAGAGTACCAGAACTTTCAGCCTCTCGTTTGTAGCCCGTAGGTTTTGTTCTGCCATGTCCGCTGCGGTGGTCAAGTCTAAGTTGTTGACCCAGTCCTCGGTTGCATTGTTGTCAAGGATGAATGGTCGATATTTCTGGCGGATATCTTGGTTATCTTCACTCGGGGTCAATGCCAGAGAGCGATATGAAACATCGGGTTGGTGGGTGGTTTCAACTGTTTGGGAAACGGTGGAGGACATCCTTTTTGTATATTTGGGGCGCAGCAGAGATTGCGAGATTGCTGGCCGAAGTGTCGAGGGCACTCTTTGTATAAAGTAATATAGCATAGATTCCAAGGTTAAAAGATAACCAGAAAATAAGACTAAGACAGACAGTTAAGAAATTGACAGTGATTTTGGGGTGATATAGTAGCCCTTGACAGTATGTCACTGACAAAAAATGATTGGATAAGACTCGGTCTGAGAAGAACCAATCAAATTCTAGGAAGTGGACCCCAAGACCCATGGATCTTTGGAGGCTCTTGCCCATTGAAATTCAACCTTCTTCAACCTTCGGGTTCTTCCCGAGTATACTCCGTAGGGATTCCGGGGACAGGGCGATCATGGACTTAATACGTTGGAAATGGGAAATGAATCAAAAGAAAAGAGGAAAGAGGGATACAGTCGACCCAAGGTTGCTGCCAATTTGTACCAGAGAAAAGGGGTGCAGAATCTACCTATAGCTGACTTCTAGTAAATGGGACCTGCTTGATATTCCATCTTATTTTTATCTTTGGTATAATAATTGTGTTTAGTATAAAAATCGGGACTTGGTGGATCTAAATCACGTTAGTACATGTACTGTTGTACTCCGTATCTTGGCTTCACATTCCTGCCGAGGTCCCGTGTCCTATCCATATTAGAACGTTCACTCTATCTCTGTTCTAACCACCTCTCAAGCTCCTGTACAAGCTCCAACAGCCGAAATGAGCACAGAAGAAAGCGTACATACTCTCCCTGACGGCCTTGAGCTGTATGCCAAGACATGGAAGGTATGGTTGAATTTGCAACACGGCTTTGATCCCTCTCCGAATAAGCTGAGATGGACACCAACCCCAACATATTGATTTCCAAACCTAACAAAGCGATCTACTCTATAGACTAGCGGGTCTCCACTTGCTGTTTTGGCCTTTATCCATGGCTTCAGTGACCACTGTGAGTTTATCAGGTCTACGAGCAAAATCAGCCAAGACAGTCCATGTCCATAAGACAGAATACTGACATAAACCCTTGCTAGGCAATGCCTACCATGATCTATTTCCAACACTAGTGTTGGCAGGTGTAGAGGTCAGATCTTTTGATCAGCGGTAAGTGTTAACCCACCAAAGTCCACCCCTATGCTGGTATATCAATATAAATGCCCCGCAAAGAAACCAATTTTTTTTTCAAAATAAACAACCCCCTAACTAACAATCCAAAACCAGAGGATGGGGCCGCAGTGTCAAGCAATCCCGCGACCGCGGTATCACAGGCCCAACTTCGCAAGTTCTCTCAGACATCCACTCTTTCTTGCAAAGCCTACCGTCCCGCCCCAACGTGCCCCTCTTCCTAATGGGCCACAGCATGGGCGGCGGCCAAGTCCTCAACTACATCTTCCATCCAGAGTCACCCTACAACGGAGACAAATCCACCCGGCCCAAGTTCGCCGGCGTGCTTCTGTACTCCCCTCTAATCGCCATAGATCCATCCTCCCGTCCCTCAAAACTGATAGTCGCAGCGGGGCGAATTGTCGCAAAGTTGATCCCCCATAAGCAGCGGTATTCCCCGCTTGATGCGAATCTGCTGTCCCGTAACAAGGACGTGGTCAAGGAATTCGCGGCTGATACGCTGTGCCATGATACGGGTACTTTTGAGGGGTTGGCGGGCATGTTGGATCGGGGCATTTGGTTGGAGGGGATGTTTGCGGCTGGGGATGGGACTTGGGCGAAGAGTGAGCTGCCGTTTTGGTTTGGACATGGTGATGGGGATCTCATTACTAGTTATCCTGCGACCAAGGACTTTGTTAAGGCGTTGACCGAGAAGGGTGCGGATGTGAAGTTTTGTTCTTATGAGGGGGCCTATCATAAGTTGCATGATGAGTTGCCTGAAACGACGGAGAGGTTCTTCGTCGACGTGAAGGCTTGGATTTTGGCTAAGGTGCCTGAGACGAAACGCGAGATGGCTCAGGATGAAGTAGAGCGTGTTGAGGGTGAAGGTGGCATCGACACTGCCGTTCACGAGGACGTGGATACCGAGGGTAAAGCGAAGCTGTGAAGTGATTGTTTTCCGTTCTGACACATGTTTTCAAGCATATCGTTAATATTATTCTCATAGTTCTCTATATAGTACAAATGGGTTCAGTCTATATCAGACATGCAATAGAATACAGGTATATAGTACAGGATTTATATGCTTGGGACAGCTGGACCGAGAACTTAACGGTCTTCGATCCGTCGCCAGACCGCCACGAAACCACCGCCCTGGATACGCAGTCCGACCTTGGGCCGGCAGACCAAGACAGACTCTGCTTCCTTGGGAGGCTCCTCTGTGGTGGACACCTCAGAAGCAGCATCAGAGGCGGTGGACTGCTCGTCGGCCTCGGCAGGAGTGGAAATCTCAGCATCTGAAGGGGTAGCCCAGGATGCTGGGTCGGCGCCGGACTTTTTAGTCGCAAAACGCACATCCCATGTGCGGCCACCGCTGATTCCAGAGCCAAGCTCGATCACCTTCTCCTGAACGAGGGGGAGTCGCTGGTCCCGGATCAGTTGCAGGCACTCGCCAATCTGCGTGATACTAGGCATGAATACCACCAGGAGGCCATCACGCTTCAACATCGGAGTAACATGTGGGATCCTCAAGTTTGAGGAAGGCATGTCCAGAATGACGTGTGAAAGGAATGGGTCGACAGGGTTTCCCCCAGTCAGTGAAGCCAAGCCAGTCTTTTTCCGCAGCTGCTTCTGCTGGGCAATCCAGTTCTCGACGGGGCCCACATAGAAATCGGTGTTACCTGCGTAGATTCCACGGCGGAATCCCCGGATATTTTTCTCGGCCAGCGCAGAGAACTTCGGCGATACGTCGACTGTGTGAATTACGGCGTTGCGCTGCGCTCGCCATGCATCCCATTCCTCTTGTGCTGGATCCGCAACTGGCTCGGCGGGTTTCTCTCCTGTTTGTTCTGTATCCATTTCGCTAGGCCTGATAACTCGGCCTTCTATGTATTTGATCTGAGATCGCGATGGGCGGCGCGGAGGAGTAGTATTGGCCGCGTGAATGGCACGCGCCAGGTGTAGTGTCAAGGATCCATGGCCTGTCCCGGACTCGAGGATTTCCATGGTGGGTTGTATTTCGCCCGCGGCGGGGGTGTCGACATGAATATCGAGAAGGGAAGCAATCAAATTGGCATCCTGTGGATAGATCTACTGGGATAGCGTGAGTCCAATGCATCTCCGTGTTTGATCCGTAGGAGTGATTCATACCGGCGTGACCAAGCGAGGGGTCAGGGCGACATATTCTTCCAATGTTGGGAGACTGACTCGAAGATTCAGGCCTGAATATAATGAAAGTTAGTGACATACCCAGGGAATACAGAAAAGTGGGTGTTATTGACCTTTGCGAGACTGTACGGTGTCCCAGACCCGTTTCCCAATGATACTGTCATGTTCCACTGCTCCGCGAGGAGTTTGGAGCTTTTCACCTCGTTTCAATGCTTTTGACAATGAGGGCTGTTTGCCGTGTACAATGACTCGATCTCCCTCTGCGAATTTCGTTAGCGCGATGTTGGGATGAGGCGTTGCAATATAATTTACCTTTTATAATGGAAAAATTGGTATCAATGGTTCGAGAGCGCAAGGATCCTGGTGGCGGAGTCACTCCAAAGACGCGCTGCAGGGCCTGGCGCACACGAGACATGATATAGAGCAATATCAAGTAGTAGTCCAGTGGCCCTGAAATAAACAGCAAAGGGAAAATCTGGCGGATCGAGACTAGCCCGCTGCGGTACCGCCCCGACCCACCCACCCCCAGTCACCGAATCGAGGGGCACATCTTTAATCTCGGCACTTGCTTTTCTTCATTCTCTGGATTGTACATACATTTGGATTCATTTCTACTGCTATAGATAGTGATCATGGGTTCCAACGCTCTCCCATACATCGAGACTAAGCCTAAGCTCATCTTCTTCACCGACTTTGATGGGACCATTACAGTCGACGACAGTAGGTGCTTCCCCACAAAGTGCCAGTACTTGAATGCTGACAAGAATCGCAGGCAATGACTTCATGGTATGTTGCAGCGCTACCCTTCCTTAGGTCTTCACTAACACCACTCAGATCGATAACCTTGGTTTCGGCCTAGAAAAGCGCCTTGCATTGGGCAACCGGGTCCTTGACGAGACTCTGAGCTTCCGGTGAGTGTTAAAGACCCTGTCGATTCTACAAGCAAGCCCTAACGGGCCTTTCTTCCTTATAGGGATGCCTTCCGCGAGATGCTTGAAAGCATCAAGACCCCATACGACGAATGCATCGAGATCCTGTTAAAGAGCATGAAGCTGGACCCGTACTTTGAGGAATTCTACTACTGGGCCCAGGATAACAATGTTCCCATCGTCATTTTGTCATCTGGCATGCGGCCCATTATCAGCGCTTTGTTGGAGAAGTTCCTCGGTCACAAGCCAGCCAGCCACCTCACCATCATTTCCAATGAGCCTGCGAGCCGGGATGGCAAGGACATCAACAGCGAGGGTGGTTGGCAGATTGAGTACCGTGATGACAGGTGAGCAACTGTCAATCCGATCATCATTCCCCAGCCTCACTGACAAACAATCACCAGCCACTTCGGGCATGACAAGTCCCTGGAGATCAAACCTTATGCCGCATTGCCCGACGGAGAGCGCCCGATCCTTCTATACGCCGGAGACGGTGTTTCTGATCTGTCTGCAGCTGCTGAAACTGATCTTCTGTTCGCCAAGCAAGGCAAAGGTATTCATCCGCCCGAACCGCCTTAAACCCGGACTCTGGAACACTGAGCTAACGCTGTTGCAGATCTGGTGACCTACTGCCAGCGCAAGGGAATGCCCTACACGACTTTCGAGAATTGGTCTACAATCCTCTCGACTACCAAAGACATCTTGAACGGCAAGGTGTCAGCGGGTGAGGTGGCTGCCAAGGCTTCGCTCGGCCTGTAGAATGGAGTTAGACGGGTATAGACTTGCACCTAGACGGACATGAATATTAACGATGAACATAAATTCCACATAAATTTAAACAAGGATACCGAGAATGTCAGTGAAAAGAGTAAGAATAGCCAAGTCAATGAATCACCAACATACAAACACCAAACACCGGGAGAAGCCTAGACCAACCTTTCAGGAGTCACCGCCTTCAGGGTCCAAGCGTCGAGGGTGAACTGCGAACTTCAATCCTCCAGACAAATTAAACCTGTCCTTTATATCCTAGAGTTGACCGATCTTGGTCCTCTCCTTTGCCCTATACCCCCTGCACTTCGTGGGCATCATGCAACAGGGCATCTCGCTTTTCTTCAAGTCCTTGCCAGGGTGATATCTATCTCATCATGGCTCGCCGGCTAGTACGACATTATTTTACTCCCTATGAAGCCGTTTACTAACACCTAATTTGTGTAGGTCCGAGCGAGTGTACAGCTCGGTTTATTCGCAGCATTCATTCTCCTCGTCATCGTCATTCTCGACAATCGATTTAGTGTCCTTCCCTCTTCAATCCATGGCCATCTTCCGTCGCATTATTCCGGCTACGTGATCACAGACGTGACCGTCACAACATGTTCCTCTCTCAATCCATTCACGAGCTGCAAGCTAGACCCAGAAACCTGGTACCGCGTCGACAAGGACCTCTACCTGCGCTCGGGCTGGACCTCGAGTGCCTACGTTCAATTCAGGAGGAAAAAGGAGGAGGAATTGGGCCCTGATGACAAGGTGGTCATCGATTTGAAAATCAGTCGTCTCACTCCCCCGTCTGAGTTTGTGGGAAAGACCGAAATCGAAGCGTGGGAACCCCGACCGGGAGCCATTTGGCTCAAGCGCTCGTCCTCCCGCCATGCTAGCGACTCCGAAAACGCCGTGACCTACATTGACGTCCTTTACGGAGCGGATGCCGTCGATCCTCGTCCCAACTGGGAAGTCAAAGATACGCCGATTCTCCTGGATAGTCGCACGGAAGAATTGGAGACTCGCCTTAGTATTCGAAGAGGACACCCGCAGGCCAAACCCAAGAAACCCGTTCCCAGAATCAACGAGAACGGGAAATTCAAGGTGATGCAGTTGGCAGATCTCCACATGAGCACCGGTCTCGGCCACTGTCGTGACCCTGTTCCTGCGGAAGTGGCTGGCCAGAAGTGTGAAGCCGATCCCCGAACGTTGGAATTCGTCGAACGACTTCTCGACGAAGAGAAGCCGGACATGGTGGTCTTCTCTGGTGACCAGGTCAACGGAGAGACCGCCCCAGATGCACAAAGTGCCCTGTACAAGTCTGTAAAGCTTTTGGTTGATCGCAAGATTCCTTACGCAGCCATCTTTGGAAACCACGACGACGAGGGTGACCTCAACCGAGAACAGCTCATGACCATATATGAAGACCTCCCTTACTCTCTTGCAGCTGCCGGCCCCGAAGATATTGACGGGGTCGGAAACTACGTTGTCGAAGTCCTCGATTGGGGCAAAAGCACACACTCTGCCTTAACCCTCTATTTCCTTGACACACATTCCTACTCCCCCGACGAGCGTCAGTTCCGCGGTTACGATTGGATCAAGCCGAGCCAAACGCGGTGGTTCAAGAACACCGCCCAAAGCCTGAGAAGGAAACACCTGGAATATAACCATATCCACATGAATGTGGCATTTATCCACATTCCGCTCCCCGAGTATCGCGCGCAAGGAAAGTACTTCAAGGGTGCATGGATGGAACCTCCCACTGCGCCAGGGTTCAACTCTAGGTTCAAGGACGCTCTCGAGGAAGAGGGCGTCTTATTTGTTAGTTGTGGACAGTAAGTCTCAGGCTTTTCAAGGCTCCTTTGTGTCGTTCCGAAGACTAACTGTTCCCTAGTGATCATGTCAATGACTATTGCATGCTCGATGAAGACGAAAATTCGAAGCCCTCTCTGTGGATGTGCTACAGCGGCGGTGTCGGACTGGGCGGATACGGTGGCTACGATGACTTCGTCCGAAGAGTTCGTTTCTTCGACTTTGACAGAGGCCCAGGTCGTGTATCAACATACAAGCGTCTAGAATCGGGTCAAACCGAAGCCAAAATCGATGAAATGATGATCGTGGACGGCGGTGCTGTCAGAGCCCCAGATGAAACATCCTAACAAAGTCTACCTTCTCCCCCTCCCCTCCTATTCTCCTTTCCTTCCTCTTCCCCATCATGTATCGAGATGTCAGTGTGTCTGCACTGCCCCTGTTCTCACATACTGTCGTTTCCGTTCTTGTCGGCGGCGTTTCTCTTATTTTCCTGTACATATATCTTTTTGCCCCTTGCCTGCATTAGGTCGGCGTCTGCGGGGAGTCTTATCTTTTTCTGAAATATCGAAGCCATTTCTCCCAATCATATCCTGCTCCAATTCTCGTAGGTGTGGACTATAACGCTGACTACATTTCATTCATGGACGAACAAACACTAATCCATCTGAATATCTTACATCACTCCCAATCTGTGGACTCCATCCTTACCACCATTTCTCAAAGAAAACTCGCTGCTCCCCACCATCCCCTAGGATCTCAGCCAATCTCTCCACGATGGAATCGGTCATACCAGGCGGTCCACAAACATAGCATACTGTACCCCGAGAATCCAACTCGCCATGTGTACCCACAGTTGCAGAGCGCAGATCACGATCGGATATCCTCTCTCTGTGAATCTTGAGATCCGAAGGAGACCCAGATGAGAGCAGATCAGGCGATGAGGTTAAGTCCGTAAGGAAAAGGTCCAGCGAGATGCGGAGCCGATGCGAACTCTCTTGAGACCGGACTATCTGGCGCAGACGTGGGAGAAACAGGATCTGGTCTAGTACTGCGTCTGCCGAGGCTGTTTCCCGATCTTGCGGCAGGCGGCTGGAGTATAGGATGTGGATGGTTGTTGGCTTAGGTGTGTGGGGTTCATTATTATTTAGGTGGGAAAGCATGGATACCAGAGGGCTGAGAATGTGTTAGTATTTCCTCATGAGGGATTGAAACAAGTGAGGCACTGGTTTGTGCTGGTGCACATTTGTATAACCAGGAGATATCGGATGATGTTTTGGGGGGTGTCACTTACTTGATGCCAACACCACCCGCAACGAAGACCACATTCTTAATATCATTAACATCGACTCCAGTGGGAGGCCAGACAAAGCTTCCGCCAACTCGGATATTCAGTTCCTTTCCTAGAATCTCTTCTTTTGGTCTCCATAGCCATGCGGCGGATGGGTTACCTGGCGAGTCTTGTACAGCCAGTTCCACATATGGTGGTCGCCCTTGAGATTCTGAAGAGGGTTCTAGTGCCTCGCCAGCTAATGAGTCTATAGAAGCCTCTGGCGATGGTAGTACTTGCGCATCTGCCGGAGTAGAGGTGATAGTAAAGCCACCCGCTTGGGCGATGGAGGGAATATGGACATCAAGCCATTGGCCCGGGAGGAAGCTGAATGGCTGCTGATTGTTATCCTATGAAATATGTTAGTGGCGTCTCTCGCGTGAAAGTGTGTGATAGTAAATGCCCAGGTGTGATTGGAACTATTGGCGGTGCGGGGCATATATATCCAACGGCGCGGGGAGAACAACCAGCCCTGGGCGTGACAGAGGGGCTTTATGTACAATACAGGGGAGACGGGAACATATATAAAGAGGCAACAGACGAGAAAAGAAAAGACACCCATACATTATTCTCCTGGGGAGGCAGAGCGAACTGTAGAAGCCGAACAGAGGGGTTGACCTGTTCAATGTGCGATAATCGCACTGGATGTAGTCTATTCTGCCGGGGTTCTGCAGCTGTGCGCAACTCATGGGGAATTGAATCGTCTCTTTTAGAAGTCATTTCGCCCGTGGTTCTTGAGATGGAGCGCAATCCAAGTTGACTAGGCCGGATGATGCGGAGTGGAATGGTTGGGCGAAGAGCAAGCGGACACAGGAACTGGAACGACTTCATCAAGATATATCCAGTATTTATCAAGCTACAAGGGGTGTAATTGGCTGGATTTGGTTGATAAATTGCCAGTTTAAAAGATGAATTGTAGTCTTCGAATATGAGACCAAGTCAGTCACAGTTTGGGACCTGCCGACCACATGACATGACCTTCCTCTCTACAACAATTCATCACTCCGACGACTTTAATGTTCGAATTTGAAAACTTAGGAATTAGTGATGGCTGTGTCTATCATAAATGAGAGACCATCATCCTCGTTCTCATTTTCTCGACTCCGGGGCTAACATGGGTATATATGTACAGTCCACTGCATAGTCACAGATGCGACTTCACATCACCCCCCACATCAGCGTTTCGCCAGGCGCTATGCACTAAAAGCTGCAAGTTCCCTCGAATTGCCAAGGTTTTGCTGCTACTGTTGAGGGGAATAATGTGATGAGGGCTCCATGCAGATCAGCCATCCTATCACACCGTCTAGCGTGTGACGACCGGCGGTCTTCCCTCGATTCCCGTCGTCTCATTGGTGTGATGACCCTGGGTTGCTACTTGTGCTGGCGCTTTGCCGCCATCAAGCATTGGCCAGATGCACCTCCCAGACACACATCAATCCCTCTGCACCGTCTTCCCATGCTGATTCGTGCCCCCTCCCGCATGCGATGGCTTGTGCCTTCGGCCACTCGTTGGTCTCGAACTCATATCTAACGCTCGTCCTCCGGGTCGCCCAGACTTGTGTTCTTCTACCCTTTTTGATCTTCTCTACCACACTGAAGTTTTTGGCCCTTTACGCGAGACAGACTGTATGCCTTAGCCAGCCGGTCTGGTTGAATCGCATAGCACGCAGCTTTAATTTTTCCATAAGCGCTTCGGTCGAACGGTCAAATTGGGGGAAATATAGTCGATTTTTATTGCAAATCTTCCGAATCCACCACCAAAATGCAGTTCATGTTTCCAAAGAAGCACAAGAACCACAAGCTCGTCCTTTGGTTGATGGCCGGGGAATTTCCGCTCACCATTGTAATGCTGACATTGACGGGTATCGCTTCCCACAATCTATACCAGACATTGTTATGGCAAGATGGAGCAGACAATGGATTCAACAGTGCTCCGAACGAGGCACTGTATGCAGCAGCAAACTACACACCGTTCAAGCCCCCCATGGTTTGGTCCAGCTTGTATGTTACCCACTACGCTCAAATATTCAAGAGCCAGCCGCTGACCCTGGGAACAGTATGACCAGCTACAACCTTGTCCTCGGTGTTTTGAGCACTTTCTTCATCATCACAAAATTACCTACCCATTGGATGAACCTATTTTATCCCCCTGTTGCGGTCGTTGTTCACGCGTCCCTGATAATTCTCTATATCGTGTCAGCCGTGTACCAGGCTGGGTCTGACATGTCAGACCCTAAACATCCCCAGCCAGGCGCTCCGTGGTACATTGCGAAGAGTTGCAGTGTCGCCTTCAAAAAGTCCAATGTTGGATACTGCATGCAAGCTAAAGCGCTGTTCGCTGTGACCGTCGTCATGATGTTAGTTTGACCTTCCCACTAATATTCCTTTACTCCCAAATTCCGCAAGGAAACAGTTAACTAACAGTCCCATCAGTATCCACTATGTAGTTATCCTCGGCTTCAATATCCACTCCTGTTTCATCACCCCCGAAGAACGGGAAGCGATCCTGGAGCAGAGAGAAGAGCGTCGCATCGAGAAGGAATTCGAAGAAGAGATCATCAAGTCTCCCAGCATGATTCCCATGACCCCCGGCTCGATGCCTCATGGACCAGGTATGGTCCCCCGCACCCCTGGGGTTCCGCCCATGGCTGTTGGGGGAAATATCTCACCATTCGCACCTCGCACGCTGGCCTTCAACCGACTTGGTAATGGCAGTACTGCCTCGGACCTCCCGTTGCGGGACAACTCTCGCGCGACGCAGCCCCAATACCCCTCGCCGCAGTCGCATGAAGTCAGCCCGGAGAGTTCGACAGGGTCGCCGATGTACTTCCCGCCGCCACCAAAGAAGGCTGCTAAATCCTGAATGGACTTAGTGTTGAATTGTTGTTCTTGAGAAATTGCTTTTGTGATACCACTTGTTGTTGTCCTAACATCACCTTCATTATTTAACGGGGCAAGGATGGCGTTTAGACGGGTTCGTTCCATTCCTTTCGCCCTGTCCGTGGGCTTGCCTTTTATTGGACTTTTGTTCACAAGCCCTCAGTACATACTGTCATCATCTTCGGCGTTGTACTTTTGATTTGCTCCGATTCTGTCGAAAATCATTTAATTTCTCATAATCAAATCTTGAGTTACCAAAGGAAAACATACATTCCGTAGTGCTTAGTACACAGTGTTGGTAAAATAGATCACGGCCAGCTATATACATTGACCAGAGAGATCGATTTCACAGGACATAACATCATCACCCATGCGATAGTGAGCATGGGGCTCATCTGAAGATCATTGAAAATCTAGCGAAGTAGACAGGACGCTTGAGTAACAAAGCGCCCGAAAAATCGAGGGGGTATCTTGACGTGAACATGCAAGACGATGGAGAGAGAAAACCTTGGAGGAAGATCACCAGCCCGAGAAAAGCAAATACACCGCGAACTGAAAATTAGGCCGATTCCTGGCGCTTCTTCTCCTTCTTAGACCAGCGCACTAAAATAAAAGGGAATTGGGTTAGCTCATAATGTGCCAAGAGTAGATAGATTACAAGCAGGTGAGCGGGGGATTACAAGTGGCGGTGGATAAAACTTACGGCCACAAGCATTGCACAAGGTCTTAGGCCCGTTAGGCCCCTTTCTCCATTCTGGTGAGTCTGCCGTTCCGCAGTCGCGACAGACATGCTGGGCCTTGAGCCTTTTACGACGGTCAACTTCCTGAGCATTGCGCTCTTGGTCAGCAGTAGTAGTGATGTCGATATCGCAATGTACAAGACGGCCAAGGCTGACCCCTGTACTGAGACCTTGCGATCTTTCGCCCTCTGCATAGTTTAGGCCGGTCATGACTTCGATGCCGTCGATGTGTGAGTAACGTTCGCGGGTATTGGACTCTGGGTAATATCCCGACGATTGGCCCGTGTCGGATTCATCCGAGTTCGGCCCCACGGTGTCCGTAGTATCAGGATCACTAGATATCTCCCCTGAACGAGAGGATTGTTGGCCCTGATTCTCAGTAACGGGAACGCGAATCTCCTGGTCGCTCTTAGAATAGGCCACCCGAGTCGCGATCGCCTCTTCTTCTTCTTCCTCTTCCTGCTTCAATTTGGCAATCTGTTGCATCAGACGTGCGTTCTCGATCTTATGTTCCAAAAAAGAGTCAAGGAGCTGTGAGACCTTGCTGGAATATGGCCGGCACACAAGGAAAAATCCGGTGCAGCGCTCGTTGGCGGGCGTGGTTCTCTCTCCCTGACGCGCATCCTGGTTTGCAAGATGTGGGTGACCATATGCCTCCATGAGACAGTAAGTGCTGTTGGTCTTGTGGAATCGGAAATGGGTGCGGAACGATTGGTTTGCAGCGACTGAATCGTCTAAGTCTCTCTGGAATATTGGTTGGTCGTCCTCATGAATGTACTGTGCTAGGAGACTTCGCTCCAGTTGTTTGGCGACACGGCCGGTGATATTCTTGCACGATGGTGAGGCGTAGGTGATTCGGCCTTCGGGTGTGAGGAGAAGTAGCATATCCTTCATTTCATCGAGAACTCGCTCTGTCCACCCTGCATCGTGTTGTATGCCCTGATATCCCCTCCGTTGAGCACATTGCACCCCGTAATGCCCGCCGGAGGATTCATGAACTTGCTGTTGCTCTATTGTGTACCCCACATGCCCCTCGTTGAGGCCCGATCGCATCTGGGAGGTTGGTAGAGGCATATCCTCATAGGGTTGTGAACGACTCAGAGCCATATCGAGTGCAGTATAGAGAAATTAAAACGTGGGAGATATAATGGCACGCTTGTTATGTTTGGCCACTGCTGAAGAGTGGGCGTCGCGAATGGAATGGTTCATTCTCCAAATTCGAGGCGGTAAATTCGGGACATTCGGCCAAAATGGGGTTGGATTGGACAATGTGCTTCTTTAGAATCTACACATCGTCTCATTGAGGGTCTGGATCTCCTCGAAAAGAGAGAACTGGGGAAATAAGAGCCGGCCATTGCTGGTTGACAAAATACCGCCGATCCCTGTGGGCCTTTTGCACTTTAGTACAATCCACGTGATTTCGTGTTGCCTTGACGCGGGACTATGTGATCGATCATAATCAACGGCGATCCGAACACTTTCATTTCTCAGTTCTCTCTGTTTTAGCCTGTATTCGATTGTATTCGATAAAGCTAACGGACAACGGGCTCAAACGCCCCTCCTAAGCCCTTTTGTTCAAAATGTACGTGCTGATCATTCCCCGCCTCGTGTCGCGATGCTAATTGGGTTTCAGGTGTAAGTCCAACAGCTCTATACCCTGGCGAGAGAAGGATCCAACGGCCATCTAACATACTATAGCGAAGATCGATAAGCTCTCTATCCTGGGGTACGTCTCTCGAGTTTTTAATCTGCGTGAAACCACCGCGGAGAGTAATTACACTCATGCTCATCAAACCTCGCTTGTTCTAGAGTCCGCTCCTTTGATAATACGCGCAGCGAAACAATCCAGTTCCACACACCCCTCACATTGATAGTCGGATATAATGGCTCAGGAAAGACGGTACGAAATGGCGAAATGGGCGACTAGGAATTGCGACCAGGGGGGAACTGACGCGGATCTAGACCATCATCGAGTGTCTCAAATATGCCACAACGGGCGATCTCCCTCCGAACAGCAAAGGCGGTGCTTTTATCCACGACCCGAAACTATGTGGTGAGAAAGAGGTACTGGCCCAGGTGAAGCTGTCATTCAAGGCCACTTCCGGGGCGAAAATGGTTGCCACGCGCAGTCTACAGCTTACGGTCAAAAAGACCACACGACAGCAGAAGACCCTAGAAGGCCAGCTGCTTATGGTCAAGAATGGCGAACGCACGGCAATTTCATCGAGAGTGGCCGAGCTGGACCAAATAATGCCGCAGTATCTGGGTGTGTCAAAGGCTGTGCTGGATTCGGTCATTTTCTGCCACCAAGACGAAAGTCTGTGGCCGATGAGTGAACCGTCTGTGCTGAAAAAGAGGTTCGATGAAATATTTGAGGCTATGAAGTACACGAAGGCCATTGACAACATTAAAGCACTGCGAAAGAAGCAGAACGAGGAGCTTGGCAAATTTAAGATCATGGAGCAGCATGCGAAGGAAGACAAAGACAAGGCAGACCGTGCTGAAAAACGATCCGTCAAGCTCCAAGATGAAATCGAGGGCTTGCGCGAAGAAACCCAGCGGATGTCGCAAGAGATGCGGCGCGTCGCGGAGCTTGCTGATAAGGCTTGGACACAATCAGAAAGTTATGCTCAGGTCCTTGGTGCCCTCGAGGGCAAACGCATCGAAGCTAAGAGTATCCAAACCACCATTGACAACCTTAAGAGACATTTGGTTGAGCTTGATGAATCCGATGAATGGCTTGAATCTACCCTCGAGCAATTCGAGACGAAGCAGATCCAATACCAGCAACAAGAAGAGTCACAAAAGGAAAACTATATGGAAATTAAGGAACGGATCGAGCAGACTCGGCACCGCCTTGGCTTGAAGCAAGCCGAGAATGGAAAGTTTGAGAACGACAAGGCCAATTTCGAGCGCCAGTCTCAAAGGCGTCAGAACATGATCAATGAGATTGCTCGCGCCAACAGCATCCGTGGCCTTGGCGAGAAGATGGAGCAGTTTGAAATTGATGCCTTCATGCAGAAGATTAAACGCCTTTTAAAAGACCAAAATCAGTCTCTGGATAATGTGAAGCGTGAAGCGCAAAAAGAGCTCCGTGGGGTTCAAGAAACATTGAATGAGATTGGGCAATCCAAGTCTGCGCTCCAAGAGACCAAGAACGCGGCAAAACGACAAATTGCTGCGAATGACAAGGAGGCAACAAGTTATCAAAAAAAGCTCAATGAAATCGAGATTGATGAGGGTTTCCAGGCTGCGCTTGAGTCAAAGGTCGAAGATATCACGTCAAACCTTGAGCACGCGAAAGAACGAGCCAAAAATGCTTCCTGGGATCAAGATATTCAGGATACCAATGCGGAAATCCGTCGTCTTGAGGATGAAAGCTCACGATTGAACACCGAGCTCATCGATTCAACCAAGAAGGCTGGGGAGTTGGCTCGCCTGGACCACCTCAAGAAAGAATCGAAGGATCGTGAACGCAGTCTACAAACGATGAAAGGAGCTCATGGTGATCGCCTCGAGAAGGTCGTTGGTCCAGACTGGAAGCCTGAGACACTGGAGCGAGTCTTCCAGCAAGCTCTCGATAGTGAATCAAAGCAGGCGGCCGATGCCGAGCGAGAGCGCGACGGCGTGAGCAGAGAATTGGAGCACGTAGAGTTCAAGCTTAAGACATCCAAGAAGAACCTCAAGCAACGGCAAAAGGAACTTGATGAGTGCGTGAAGGAAATTCATGAAGCAGTCGACGCAGAGCCTTCCGAATACCCTGAGATTGTGAAGGAGCGACAGGGGCAGTACGATCTCGCTCGCAAAGATGCTGATCAATATGCCGGAATGGGAGAGTATCTCACCAAATGTCTTGATGCTGCCAAGCGCACCAAGCTGTGCCGAACATGTCAAAGATCGTTCAAAAACGAAGCGGAACTCCAGACCTTCACAAAGAAGCTGGACGCCCTAGTCAAAAAGGCTGGCCTTGATGCCGAAGACGAGACCCTGAAGGGCCTTGAAGAGGATCTCGAAACTGCGCGCGCCGCTAGTGCATCCTACGACACTTGGGTCCGTTTGTCAGAGACTATCATCCCCGAGCTTGAACAAGAAGAGCAAGAATCCGAATCCCAGCGTGACCAGCTTTTGGAGAAGCTGGAAACCCAGGACGGAAAAGTTAGCGAGAAGACAGAAAGCAAGCGTGACGTCGAGGGGCTTGCTAAGACAGTGAGCACTATCGCGCGTTACGATGTTGAGATCAAGACGATCAAATCACAAATTCAAGAACTTTCTGCAAAACAGCAAGACGCTTCAACTGCTCGTACCCTGGAAGATATCCAGGAGGAAATCGCATCCATCAATGAAAAGTCGCGGGAGTTGAAAAAGACTCTTACGAAAGTGACGAATGAGAAAGACAAGACGCGGTCAGAGATCAACAAGCTCGAGCTTGAGTTCAGAGATGTGAAGAGCAACCTCGACAATGCCAAATTCCAGCTGGAAAAGAAAGCGGACCTGACCGTCCGCATGGAGGAATTCAAGAAACTCAATAATCAGCAGCGGGACGCAATTGAGAAGGCAGATCGAGATATCGAAAATCTCACGCCGGAACTGCTTCAAGCCCAAGCCCGTTATGATGACATCAGCCAGCGAGCCGACGACCGTGAAAGAGATCTGCAGCACGGGATTAATCGCTTATCTGAGAACATCCATCAGCTTGACCTTGCCAATGACGATATCAACTCGTACAATCAACGGGGAGGTCCAGGCCAGCTTGAACGAAGCAAGCATTGGCTTCAAGTAATTGAAGCTGAGATTGGCAAACTCGAAGCCGATCAAAGCGAGATCACAAGGGAGATCAACAAAATCTCGACCCAACTTAAGGACAGTGAAAACACAAAGCGGCAATACTCCGACAACTTGACATATCGCCAAGCCACTCGATCTCTCAACACAGTTGTTGAAGAAGTTGAGCAATTAGAAGCGCAAAATGCCGAAGTGGACCGAGGTCGTTTTAAGCAAGAGTCGGAACGCTGGACTCGTGAACACAATGCCCTTGCTGCTAAACAGGCGAGCAAGATGGGCGAAATGAAGTCCAAGGACGACCAGTTGATGCAGCTGCTGGCGGACTGGAACACAGATTATAAGGATGCGTCTTCGAAATACAAGGAGTCCCATATTAAGGTTGAGACCACCAAAGCTGCCGTCGAAGATCTGGCTCGATACGGTGGCGCTCTTGACAAAGCAATTATGCAATACCACGGTCTGAAGATGGCAGAAATCAACGCCATCGCTGGCGAACTGTGGCAGAAGACATATCGAGGAACGGACGTCGACACAATCCTCATCCGGTCCGACAACGAGAATGCCAAGGGCAATCGATCGTACAACTACCGCGTCTGTATGGTCAAGTCGGGCGCCGAGATGGACATGCGAGGCCGTTGCAGTGCAGGCCAAAAGGTTCTGGCCAGTATCATCATTCGTCTTGCCCTTGCGGAATGTTTCGGTGTCAATTGCGGTCTCATTGCTCTTGATGAGCCCACTACGAACCTGGACCGAGACAATATTCGTTCTCTGGCGGAGTCGCTGCATGACATTATCCGCACTCGTCAGCAGCAGGCCAACTTCCAATTGATTGTCATCACCCACGATGAAGAATTCCTGCGCCACATGAAATGTGGTGATTTCAGTGACTATTACTACCGTGTTTCGCGCAACGAGAGACAGAAGTCGATCATTGAGCGGCAGTCAATCGCTGAGGCATGTCTTTAATTTACTTTCTACATGGTTGTTCTTGCTAACAATGTTCCAGGTCATGTAACACTTCTCTCGCAAATGCACGCTCATCTTCTAGTCGTTGTTCGGACATTTTACTGGCTACATAGTTTTGCCTGGCACAATCTCTTCCAATCTGTTTTAGGCCGTTTTCAAAACATGCATACTTCGGCGTTGATATTATGTGATGTTGAAATTACAATTTATTGCTATTGCTTTTTGATACCTATGCGCCTCCACCTATTTGAGCGTGAACGAAACCTGAATAACAAGAGAATGCAACATGCGCATTAAAAAAATATTCCCAAGAAATAGTACATAGTCGTAAGGGAAAAAAGATGCTATGCTACAGACAG